GGGCAGCGCCGGGCTCTTCGGGAACGGGGCCGCGGGGTCACCCCGAACGGGCTGGGCCGGGGCTGACCCCCACGTCCCCCCGTGCCTCGGGGTGGGCCGGGGCTGACCCCGCACTCGCCCGCTCCCGCGGAGCCCTGCGCCCCGGCAAGGCAGGGAGGGCCACAGCTATGTACAGGGGCAGTGACAGCAAAGGGCTGTGCTCGGTAAGTACAAAATATACATCGGTAGTGTCCTTCATCTGCCGAGTCGAACCCCAAACCCCCCCCGCCCCGGCCCCCACAGACACCTCCCACGTAAAAACACGACATCAGCCCCTACCCACCGCCAGGAAACATGCACAGGCTGTGCCGAAACCGCGTCGGTGCGAGACCCCGCGCTGCGTCCCCGGGAGAGCCTGGCGGGGCCCGGGGTCCGGCGGCACGGGCAGGCTCCGGTCCCGCTCACGAAAGGCTCTGCTCGTCCTCCAGGTGCAGACGGGTCTGCTCGAAGAGAAGGGGCTGCGTGGGGCTGCCGGTGCCGCGGACGGGGAACGTCTTGGTGAAGTCAGACGAGCCTGGGTAAGGAGAGGGAGCTCAGCCTCAGTAATGGGAGCCCTGGCATCAAAGAGCCCTGGCAGGGTGCTCGGCCATCCCTCCTACCCTGGACTGACCACAGGAGATGGGGCTGGAGCCAACCACTCATCCCCTCAGATGCAGGCTCAGTGTCACGAGTGGGACACGGGACACTGAGGGGGGACACAATCTGCCACAGCCTGGGAGAAGCCAGCAGGGGCCTGGATGTTCGTGGTGCCCAGGAGGCAGCAGAGCCCATGCTCAGCAGAAGCCAGTGGGGAGGGGTTTCTGCTGCCTTGCCTGGGGTCCTGGCACTCAGGGGCAGCAGGGATGCTGTGCCAGGAATGGGAAGGGAGCGAGGGCAGAACCAGCAGTGCAGCCTGGCTGGTTTGCTGCCCCTCCTTCCCTGCCCCGATGGCCAGGACCAGCCCCATCCCCGCTCTCTGCCAGCACTCCCAGGAGGGCCCTGCTGCCCCACACAACAGGGATGCAAAAGAAGAATGATAAAACGTACCAGCTTACTCCTCTATACCAACAGAGCAGGAATCAGGACCCAGTGCTGCCCAAGACAGGAGGGAGGAAGGCAGACAGAGAGGGAAGGAGACATTAGAGAGGTAACTCAGAACAGACTGCGACTCTACGGAAGAAAACAGGCTGCAACGACAACAGTCAGAGGTGAGGACAGCACAGTGTCCCACGGGCGTGCTCAGAGCACGGCACGCTGGGACCCTCCCCGCCATGACAACACTGGCCCAGTCCCCCAGCTGCTGGCCCAGGTAGTTCCCCTCCCTCACCCAAAAGCAGGAGCACATTTGGGAGCACACAGGAGGCCTGTGTCACACAGAGCTGTGCCAGGGAGTGGCTGCGGCCCAAAAGAAGAAAGGAGGGGAAGGACAGAGACACAAGGGTGAGGGAGGAGGAGAGAGAAGGGGGCCAAGTTACCTCTATGTGAGCCCCCCTTGCCCACCACTCATTCTACCCACTGGGAGGAAGTGGGAGCCCGTGCACTGGGCAGGAGCATTCCAGTGCCATCCAAGGGACACAGCTCCACAGACACCCCCAGCCCTGGAGCCACGGTGGCAGCTCCAGCCCCAATGGCACCGCCATTACCTGGCAGGAAGACGTCGACCGGGGGGTCACTCTCGGACCGTGTCAGGCTCCGGCTCTCGCCGCAGCCGCCATCCTGCAGCACATCTTCCACCGAGGGGGGGCGGCTACCTGGAACCAGCCGAGAGCGAGGCCCCTCAGACTGTGGGGGCTCATGGCCAGGGTGGGTCAAGGTTTTCCATGTGAGGAAGCTCCCCAGGCTCCCCCAGCCCCACTGATGTCCCAGGAGTGCTGGTCAGATTGGCTCAGGCCACAGTGGCCACCTCTTCACATGAAGCCTCGTGGCCCAAAACGTGCCCCAAAATGTGCCCATCGCTCCTCTCTCACCCCATCCTTGTCCCCTCTGGGTGCTGACTGAGCACCAGAGACCCATCCCAAAGACCCAGAGTCCCATTCTGTGTGCCCAGTACTGTGGATGTGCTCTCACCAGGACCCCAGTGGTGTCCTCACTGGTGCAAGGAGAGCTCATGGCACAGAAAGCTCTACAAGTACAAAGCTCAGAGCAAGGTGAGATGCCTGGCAAATAAACCAGGGAGACCTGTGGATTTTGCTCCCCCACCTCCAAGAAAAGATGCCAGCACCTTTCCCTGGTGAAGAACAGAGCCTCAGAGATGGACTTAGGGGGCTGGATGTTTCTGAGCTCATTTCTTTATTCCCCAACTGTCCCTGTCCCACCACAGCAGAGCTGAACCCTGAGCCAAGGTCTGGCTGCACTCACACCTACCCTGCTGCACCGATGAGGCCTCCTCCACCTCTTCCCCTGCCACGCTCTGTAAGGAAGGACAGCACAGGTTACTTCAGCAGCTGGAGGCCTTTGCTGTGCTATTCTCCTGCTCTGGCACTCTCCAGGGAGCTGTGCTTGGGGCCAGGGCTTGTTCCAGGGCAGGAGCAGGGGCTACCCCAGTGCTGCAGCACCACAGGCTGGGATGGAGGGGTCTTACCAGCAGTGGGCACTGGAAGCTCCTAAGGCCCAACTCCCACCCCTGCCCCACACTGCTGGGTTCACCCAGGATACTGGGGAAGGTCAGCTCTGCCATGGCTCCAGCTGAGTGGTTTTCCACTCCCAAAGAGGTGTCAGGAGCACAGGGAGTGGCTACATCCTCCCCATGGAGCCCTAGGGTTAAATAAAGCAGCCAAGACTCTTGGCTCTGGGCAATGGCCCTTCAGGAGGCACTTCCCATGTCCCAGAAGCCCCCCCAGCACAGCACACACTTACCTCTGGAGAGCTGGTCTCCCTCAGGACCAGCTCACCCCCACTCAGCACTGCCTGTGAGTCAGAGTCCTCGGAGAGCTTCTCCTCATCCTCCTCATGGATTGGGGATGAGGGAGACCGTAGTGTGCTGCAGCAAGAGAAACTCCATTTGCAGGGAGCTGCCAGCACCCTGGGGCCTGGAGGACTTGGGGACAGCACAAGCCAACTCTCATGAGCAGGAGCTCAGACTGGGGAACTGAATTCACCAGGGCCAATACTGGCCACATGGAGAACAGCAGCAGCAGGGTGGGACAGAGCCAAGTGGTGCCAAACTTCAGCACAGCAACAAGAGGCCCAGGTCCCGTGCTGCTCCTTACACTTTCAGGGCTCCCTTCTCAGGTGAAAATTTGGGTTGGAACACAGTGAAGATGCCAAGAACAAACCCAGTCTGATCTGAACAGCCCTGTATCCTCACCTAAACCCTCCATCACAGGGCCAACAGAGGAGCCTTCAGAAAAGAACTACAGGATCTCAATTCAGCACTTTGTGCTCTGAAATCCAGGCCACTCCTCTCCCCATTCCTCTGTTCTGAGGAGCTCCATGGAGAGCTGAAATCCAATAAGGTTTGGACATCAAATGTAAATTCTAGGACTCAGTGCATTGGGAAGGAGACATTTCCATCCAAAGTCTTTACTTTGGGGATGGTGAGGTCCTGGCACAGGGTGCCCAGAGAAGCTGTGGCTGCTCCATCCCTGCAAGGCCAGGCTGGACCGGGCTTGGAGCAACCTGGGATAGTGGAAGTTGAATGTCCACAGCAGGGGGTTGCAGTGAGATGAGCTTTATGGCCATTTCCAATGCAAACCATTCTGTGATTCTATGACTAAATTCTTCTTGATAAAAAATCCTTTCTTTTGGTGATAGTGCCAGCCCTTAGGAGACACAAGCTGTAACCTCACGTTGAACACAGGGACAACGTCCCAGTTCTCTCCCTGGCACAAATACCTGCTGGCCTCCTAAAATTCTGAGTTAGCTGTGCTAGCAGTGACGGCACCAGCCAGAGCCCTCTCCCGGCTCCCAGTGCGTGTGGCCACCAAACCTCAGGGCTTGCAAGAGGAGCGGACCCCGTGCCCTGCTGACCTGTCTGGAGACTTGCTGCGCTTGCCCTTTTGGTGGCCACCCTCCAGGGCTCTGTCCATGCCCACGAGCGGGCGGCTGGCGGGAGGCAGCCCGTCCACCACCCCGGAGTAGCTGATCTCCTCGTACAGAGGGGCCGAGGGCATGGACGGGGACACCGAGCGGAGGCCGTTCAGCGCTTCCAGCAGCGAGATGGGCTCGTAGCCTGGAGGGATGTTGTCAGAGCTCTGCAGGTGACAAAGAGGGGGGATTTAGGGAAATATCACTAGGCTGGAAGCCCATCCCCACAGCCACCTCTCCAGGACTCCTTGGCTCCTTCCCAGGCAACAGCCACACATTCCCCTCAGGGGCGCAATGCTGGTGATGCTCCAGGCAAGTTCCCAAAGCAGTGCTTGAGAGATTGGGCATCCCCCTGATGTGCTTACAAGAGCTGGGCAAGGAGGGTGAGAAAGCAGGCTCCTAAAAAGCTGCTATAAAATAAATCTGGATTTTTTTTTTCCCCTGAAAGCTCCTCCAGTGGTTCAGAGACCCTTCCAGCTCAACGAACATCCCATTTGTGCTCCCAGCCATAGAACATGCAGCTGTTTCACAGCACCACCAGTGTCACCAAGGCAGAGCTGAAGGAGGGGAGCATGTGTGCAGCAGCTGAGAGATGGTTCTTGAAGCCTACCCCAATTCCACTTCTCCCATGACCTCTCAGCTGCTAACACTGGCTCCATGCACAGTCACCTCTGCTAAAAGGCAGGAAAGGGATCACAGAACCACTGACCTTGTAAGGAGGAAGGAAAACCACACCAATTCCCATTCCCTCTATAAATCACAAAGCTGCCAGTCAAAGGGACACTTGCAAAGCCATTAAATCAACACCAGTTTAACTCCAAAAATCCTCCTGATCATAAAGACCCTGTGGACAGAGAGACAAATGGGGTTTATGCTGCAGCCCAGGAGGCCACAGGCAGCTCAGCCCAGCCTGGTGCAAATTAAGAGGTGACACTCCCACGGTTACATTACATTAAATTGAGATGTCTCAGCCCTGTGTCCTCAGGGAGGTGGTTCTAAGTTGTACAGACGATGGCACGGTGCTGCTAAGCCTGGCCATGAACCTCCACAGCTTTTGTGTGCCCCATGTCCCAGTCACACCTGCAGATGAACCTGCCCAGCAGCCTGTTCCAACACAGCCCTAATTTGGTGGGAGCTGAGTGCTGAACTGACTCACCTGTGGTCACAGGAGGAGTTAGGTCTGATGGGGAGGGAAGAATGAGTGACACCTGGGGTCAGTCACCAACCCACACCCCAGTATTGGTGCTGTGAGGGTTATGAGCTTTGGAGATAAACAGCTCAGCTGGTGCCAGCTGTAGGTAGTGGGGCCAAAAGCCATCTCCAAAAAACTTTTCATCTGCAGACAGCAGCTCAGCTGTACTATTTTGTGTAGAGAAACGTCAGGGAGACAAACCCCCCTGGATTCCTGTTTGGGACTTTTCTCCTGCCTGTGCAGAGCAGGTCCTGAGGAATCAAAGGCTGCCCATTGCTGTGGTTAAAGCCCAGGTTGCAGGGCACAGCTCAGAGGCTGGAGGAGGATTTCCCAGCCCATGGCTATGACACCCTCACAGAGACACCAGTTCTTTCTGTGACATTCACACCACACCCCCAGGAACACTGCCAGTCCCTGTGGAAGGTTTGCAGAGAGCCAGGTCATGCCAGAATGGGTTCAAACCTGAACTAGCACCAGGTTTTCTCCAGACCTGAGAAGCCCAGCAAGCCATGTTCCTACAAGGCTGAGCATCTGAGCTGGCCTGAGCAAAATAAAACTGCAACCTCTTTGATAAAGAGGACAGCCATGGCTGTGTTTGATGGGAGTAAACAAAGAGGGCACAAAGAGCCTTCCTGGCCTGCAGGCTCCCTCACCTTTCTCCTTCCCAGCTCCTGGACCCCCACAATTGCCATTCGTGCTGTCCCCAGCACAGCACTCCAGTTACACACTCCCAAACCAACTCATAGGGTCCCATCCAAGACAAACTCCATCCTTCCTGTTCCTGTAAAAGCAAACCAGCCTGTCACAGCCAGTGCTCCTGAATGCAAGACCAGCTCCATCTGCACCTCTACATCCCAGTACCACAAACCACACCAACATGTGCCCACACCAAACTGCCAAGGGGATGAGGTAAGTGCAAGGAAGCTTTTGGGTGAGCTACGGGTAGTGCAGCTTGCCCACAGTCCTGTGAAGCTGTGAAAACATCTTGGCCAGGAACCATAAATCAGCCAGGGCACAGTCTCTGAGAGTCAGCATCAGACCCTTGTGCCAAGCTTCTTTCCTGCTTGCTCCTCCACAGGCAAACCAGGGATGTCAGTGATCATCTGTGCAGCGTGTGAGCATCTCAGTGCCAATGTGAAGGACGTGGAGTGTCACAGCCTGGCAGGGGCACAGGCCAAACCCAGCGTGTCAGCAAGCCCTCGTGTGTAACACTGCCACGTGCAGGTGACACTGCTGGCACAGAGCTGCCAAGTGCAACCAGCCGAGTCCACTTACTGTTCTTACTTCCCTCCTACGCTTCCTGCTGGGCAGGGAGACAGAGCTCACCTTAAGGGGCTTAAAGGGGTGCTGTCAAGAGAAAACCAGATTTTAAAGAAGTTGTTTCTTGAGGTTAGTGACAGGAAGAGACACACAGCATCTCCTCACCTGGCTGCAGGTGAGAGCACCGTGTCCTCCACACACCATGCTCTGCTTCACAACAACCCTTGGGGCTTCTCCACCACCCTAGTCCTCAGCCCCAGCTGAAGGCAGCAGAGAGCAGACGGATAAACCCAACCTTTTCTGTGACAGTATCTGTTCCTATGAAAGCCTGTAGGATGATCTAGGTGCAGCTGTCCTTCTCCTCATTCTAATCTCAGTGTCTCATCAGAGCCAGCTGTGCAATAGCACTGCTCAGGCAATGAGCTGCTGCCCTTACCACACTGGGGACATGCAACTGGGCCCTGAGGCCACCAGCACAACACTTCCCATCCCACACTCCCTCAGATGCATGCCAAGACACCCAGGGAAGCTGCCACAAGGAGGCCTTTCTACTCCCATGCTGGGAACCCCACTGCCAAGGGCATTTCATCCGTGTGCTGCCACAGAGATGTGTGTGCAAGTCAAACTGGAACCCCTCTGCCCTGTTTTCACAGTGCCCACCCTGTCAGGCCCAGAGTCTGCCACTTTTCTGTTGGGCCAGGTAACAAGAAACCTCATCCAGACATTTCTCTGGATTTGTTTCCTCCAATCCAGTTGTGTTACTAATCCAGCAGGTTGATAAGAAAAGGCAGCACTGCTTGGGAAGCCCTCAGTGGTCCTGAGGTCCCAGGGCCACCAGCCATCCGTCCAAACAACTCATGCACCCACCAGCTGCTTGCTCAGGCTGAAAGCACCGGCCAGACTTTGCAGAGGAGTCACCAGGTACTTACAGAGTGCTCATCATGGTCCACACTCTGTGCCAGGACAGGGCTGAACGACACTGGTGACAGAGCCCCCGGCTTCTTCCTCACCGCCCGGATCTGCAGCAGGGCACGGAAGGCTGGAGGGAACAGGAGGGGGTGACTGCACAGCCCAGCAGGGCCAGGCCATGCCAGAGCTCCTGGCCTTGCCACAGACACCCCTTTGGCATGAGGGAGCTCCCCTGTGCACAGGGAGTGGGGCCATGGAGCTCCCCAAAGCCAAGTAATGGGGTTGGGCTTCCAGCCCATTGATCTACACAGGGAAGGGATCTGCTGGCTGATCCTGTGTGGAGAACAGGCACTGCCTGCCCCAGCACAGTCATGGACAGGGCACTTCAGCTATTCTACAAGTGTAGGGGCCCAGAAAATTTCCCCTTAAGGGTAGGTGACAAAAACACAGTGACAAAAACACAGTAACAAAAACATGAGCTCGGCCTCAGGAGTTCACTGCATGCTACAGGTTGGGCGGGGGACTCATTAAAACCCCTTTGGGTTCCTTCAGACCCCACAAACCTCAGCCCTGGGGTCCAGCTGTGGTGGTGAAAGCCTCCAGTTGTAGGATTAGTGGCTGTACTCCTGTCTCCAGCACATCCACCCCTCAGTCCTCCCACCACCACAGCTTTGATCTCCACTCCCTGCAGATCTTTAATATTGCTTGTCCCTCTGTGCCAAGGGCACATACGAACGAGCCAGACATCTGTTCTGATGCAGCTGTGAGAACTTTCCAGGCATCTCCCTAGTTCTTGTTGCACTCAGCCCCTTCAGGATCAGCCTAGAGCCAGAGAACAGAGGTACAAATCTATCCTTGCTGCCTCTGCACTCCCTAGAAGCAGATCCCCAGGAAGTCTGAGATGAGGCACTTTCCAAACAAATACAACCTACTCCCCTACAGCCTGCAGATGAGACAATACTATTCCTGTGTTTTATAATGTGCTGCTTATAGTCAAAGCTGTCTGGCACTTCCTCTGGTGAGATCTTGCTTTTGGTTACTGCTCTTTGCTATGTTTGGACTTAATTTCTCAGGCCAAACATCTATCTTAGGCTTTTTATTTCTTTCCCTGATAATTGTCAGTTAGAAATAATCAAATACCTCAGAGACCAGGGGATAAAACACACTCTCCTACCCCTTCCAGCAAAACCAAGAATTTCTCAAGGGCCTCCTGTGCCTCTGTGCTTTTGAGAAAAAACACAGAATTCAACAAATGCTGCCTGAGTGTCAAAACACGTATTTAAGTTTTTCCATGTTTTGGAAGATGAGCAATGAAGGGGTTAAGCAAATCCTTGTAACTCCTGGCAGAGCAAAAAACTCCAAACTGACTGTTATCCCTGCTTCCTGGTGAAATCTGAGTAAGGTTGTCAGAAGATAAAAAAAAAATCAAGCTCTGTACTTGGACAGCCCTCCAGTGGTGCTGCCTGCTGTCTCAGCCAGATATCCTCAGGATAAAGCTTCTCCATCCCTTCTTTTGCGGGATTTTCCATCATCTTCACCAAAACACAAGAACTGACAACATGGCACAGCCCAGAGCACCTGCACCTTCAGATCCACCCCAGGGAGAGGGTGAGTGGCCAGGGAGGCACCGCACAGAGAGCCATTCTCCTCTCCTGTCTGAGCACATTTATTCTAAGTGCCAGGAATCTCCAGATTCGGAGAGAGCAGCAGCCCCGTCTGAGCCTTGGGGTGGGGAACTCAAATGAGGCTCCTCCTCCCAGCCTGCACTGCCTTGTCAGGAGTCGGGGAGGGGGTCAGGGCACTCAGGGAGCTGGGGACGGGCTCAGGGCACTCACGGAGCCTGCAGATGGGGCAGTTGTTGGCCTGGTAGCGCAGGGTGTCGGCGCAGGAGTTGCAGAGGCAGAGGTGGCGGCAGGGCAGGATCAGGGTGTCCCGCAGGTCCGACAGGCAAACCACACACTCGTTGCTGTTGTCACTGTTCTCGTCGTCTGAAGGCTGCAAGGAGAGGCAAGGGGTTGGCATGGGAGTGGTGGGGTTATGCCGAGCTGCCAAGGGACAGGAGCTAGGGGGAATTTTCCACCCAAAAGTCTGGAAATTCTCTTTTTGCAGCTCTCAGCCGGAGTTCCTCAAGGAGAGCAAACTAGCCCACACAGCCCTGCTCACACTCCTTCCTCTCAGGGCACTGCACTGTGAATTCATGGCAGAGTTGTCCTTCCCCAGGGCCGTGTTCTGTTCAAAGGGGACCTATTTTGGGGCAGGGATCCCCTTGACTGAGGCTGGCCAGGAACAAGCTCCTGCCTCCCATCCTGGTGGCTCCAGGGTTAATAGGGAAGTGAACTCTTTGGCACTCTGGCCTTTTCCCCACGAACAGAGCTGCCTGTCATTCCAGCCATGCCTAGCCCAGCTTCCACAGGTCCCCTGAGCAAGTGAGTGTTTCTCATGCATTCCCTGTGCTGGCACAAGCTCTGATGCAGCTGCAGGAGAACCAGCCCAGGGTGTTTATCTGTCCTGGTAAAAGGCTCAGAGTGCACCCATTCAACATGAACATGCTTCACACTTATCTTTCTCAGAGCCCCACAGATTGGATCACAGCCACTGATCAAGATGGGAGAGAAACTCACGTTCCAACCACAAGACTGACACCAGGAAACTCCACACTCTTCCCACTGATGTCACAGGAGTTGTGCCAGAGCCCACCACGATGACCCTGACCTTCACCTGGGGCTCCTGTGGTCGTTGGGGCTAACACATGGGCAACCTTGGTGTTAAACAGCAATTGTGCTGCTGCCACATCCTCACCCAGCCTTCTTTTGGAGGGAGAGCAGGCTCTTTGCTGTCCCACTCACATGGTTTGTTTAATAAGGAAGAACAAAAATGGCCCCAGGCCACTTGTCTGATGGGCCATGAACATCGGATTGTTGGATCACGAGAATCACCACAAGACTCTGGAAGGCCCAAAAAGAAGCCCTCAATCCTGTTAATAGATTCTGTGCAAGAAAAATCTTGGAAAAGACTTCTCCCTTCTGCCTCTTCAGGTGCTACCTGTTGGCATAGGCAGATAGGGATCACAGGATGCTCTGGGCAGGGCACTGGAGAGGAAATCCTGCTTGTCTTGCTCCGTGGCTACTCCACTGTGTGTAAATCATGGACTCCACACCTGGTGTGGTGTGATCCCAAGGCCAGCACTGGGTACACTCCACAGCCCAGGTGGCAGCAAAGGGCAGCTCTACAAAGACTAAAGGAAGAATAAAGCAGTCACACAACCCATGCAGGGCTGTGCAGCAGGCTGGGATCCAGCAGCAGCTCCTGCCTCAAGATGGGAAACGTTTCTGGTTATGGCATTTGCATATACATCTCTTAGGGGTGCTGTGATCCCTCCTGCTGGGGAATGCAAGAGGAATATCTCTGGACACAGGCAAGCCCCACAGAGCTCAGTTCTCTGAAACACTAGGGGAATATGCAGAACCCCCAACCAGAACATGAAGGAGCCACAAGAGCAAAGCACAGACACCAGGCACGACTGCCTTGACTGCAGAGGCAGCAACACTGGCTCTCTACAAGCCCTAAAAATCAGTGCTCTGACACACCCCTGGGGCACTGATGCCCTTCTCTCCTAGCAATCCCAGCCACAGGGAACATCCTTAAGATCCTCATGCTACCTAAAATTACCTCAGCACAACTCCACTGATTGTTTGGGCCTGACACCAGGGAAGATCTGTCATCCCTGAACTTCTTGGGTGCCTGCAGGAATGACACAGACTTGACTCTGGGAAGCACCTCCACATTGGCCTGACAATCCCCACGGTTAAGCTCAAAAGCAGAAGGTGCAGGCTGGGAACTCTCAGCTGAGGGAGCCTCCTGGGCACCCTTACCTTGGTCTCCTGGTTGTTTTTGTTCTCGATGCCATAGATCTCCTGAAGCAGGTAGCTCACCCGGTCAACCTAGGGGAGAACACCACAGTTGGAGTGACAGCTGCTCTGTCCTTACTGGTTTATGACCACCTTCCTTCCCTCCCTCCCTCCCTCCCTGTGTCAAATGCCCATGTTACACCCAGAGCTCTCCTATAGTGACATGAAAAAGGTAACAGAAACAAACATTGCAAAGGACAGCTGGGAGAATGAGTCTCTCCTTGCTCAAAAAGTAGAGCCCATCCTGCTTGGTCTGAGCAGAGTAACAAAAGTGGCTAGCTGGGCTATCAAAATAATCTAAAAACAAGTACTCTGCTTGTCCCAGACATTGGGAATACAGACCCAACTCAAATAATCCAGAGGCAACCAGCCTTCTTCAGTCCTCTCCTCTGTGAGATCCTGCTTAACTTTAACCAACATGAACTTCCACCCATTTCTGCAGCCTCAGAGGACAGGCTGTGCCAGCAGCTCCTTACTGACACACCAGTGGCAGCACATCACCTCCCTGTTCATCCCCTGGGAGCAAAAGGTTAAGCCACTGAGGACAGACAAACTGTGTCCCTTAGCAAGAGAAGCACTCAAGGAATAACTGTGTTAGTGCAGTGTCATTTATTGCCATTCCCAGGCTCTGGGTACCATCTCTAAATTGAGGGTGTGCTGGCAGAAGGTGCTTGAGGCACAGGTGGAAGTTGCTCAGAGCCCCAGCCTGGGACAACTCCAAGCCATGACTTCTGCAAACTGGCAGCTGCCTGCAAAAACCCCACCAAACAGCTGAATTGCAGCACTGAGGCAGTCAAGACTCAGTCCTGTTAAACATCTTTATTGATGATCTGGATGAGGAGATCAAATGTAGTCTCAGTAAGTTCACAGACAACATTAAGTTTGGTGGGGTTGTTTATCTGCTGGATGGTAGGATGGCTCTGCAGAAGGATTTGTAACACCAGGGGAGGCTCAGGCTGGACACCAGGAGGAATTTCTTCACAGAAAGGATTGTTAAACATTGGAAGGAGCTGCCCTGGGAGGTGGTGGAGCCACCATCCCTGGAGGTGTTCAAGAAATGACTGGGCTAGGTGGCCTGGTGGTGATCAGTCACAGGTTGGACTCAATCTTCAGCTCTTTCCCAACCTAAATGATTCTGTGATTCTGTGATCTGGTGCTACACAGCAGCTTCCCCAGAGCAGGATGTGTTCTTCCACAGAAACCCTCAAGACAGGTAAAAGGGTGAGGGGTTGCAAGGTACCAAACAGGCACATTTCACAAAAAGTGGGAGGAAACACTTTCCTGCCATCTCCAGTAGCTGTCCAGCTCCCAACATGCAGTGAAGCCAAGCCACCAGCACCCCAGTGCTAAAAAGAGCTCGTCAATACCAGGACCTCTGTAATTTCCATGTCAAACTGGCCTCTGTCCTCTCCTTTTGTCACCACTCAGAAGAGGAGTGGCTTTGCCATGGCATTCCAGTGCTGCAGTTGACACATGGCAAGGTGGGGGCAGGAGCTGGCTGTATCCAGCCCATCTGCCAGTCCAGAAATGCTCTGAGCTGGGACACAGCAGTGATAACCAACTAGTTCCAGAGTGTCCCTGTGTAACTCAGTGTGCAGCTCACAGAATTTGTTCTAGGCCTGCATTTCATGGCAATGAGATCAGCTGTTGGACTGCTGAGCTAAACCCTCTGCAGCAGCTCACAACTCACCCAGGAAGTTTGGGAACAATTATGTGGGAGATGTTCTTTTGTAACTTGGCGTTTCAAAGAGAGCCTTGTTCCAGCACCCTGACTCCTCAGAGGATCACGATGAGCAACTGTGAGTGCAGAAGTTGTGAACTCAAAGCACAGAAGAGGTCAGGAAGAAAGAGGCCCAAGTCTCTGCAGGAGTTCTGCATTTCTTTTGACTTCTTTCCCCTAAAAATCCTAAGGAGCTTCTGTCCCAGTAGGGAAAGGGTAAGCAGTGCAACAAAGCTCTTTCTGGGAAGAACTCTAGGTTTTCAGAGTGAGAATAATTCAGAAGGAGCAGGTGATTGTGTACAATGCTTCACCTTCATGCTTCTCCAACCCATCCCACACCACATCATCCTTCCAAAGGCTTCTGCTGCTATTTACAGCCTCAGCAGATGCACACAGAGCCACTGGCCAAGTCCAGGTCATGGTTTTCTGATGATCCATCTGTTTGTATTCATCCATGGTGACTTTCTTCAGACGAGTTTGTGCTCACACTACAACTGATCTCAGCACAGGGCAGTTCAGCTCATGCACTGCTGATTCCTGATCAATACCCACAAAAGGTTCCCACAACCCTGGCAATGGCAGGGAGGGGAAAACAAAAGAAAAGCAGGGATGGCAATGAATGTACAGTGTTATACAGATGGTTTACTCCAGACACAGACTCTACACCTCTGCTCTGTTCTCCTAAGGGTGCAGATGCTATCTGAGTTTCAGTGGTGCTGTGTGTTTTTCCAAATGCCATCTTGAGCTATGATTACTCATAGTGCTTGTAGCTCTTTTCTGACCTAGGGATTGGAATGTACATCTTAGAGCAAAGAGTGTCTTATTAAGGCACTTAATGACCTTCTTGGTAGCAAAAATTCAAATTCAAATCAGAAATCTCTAGCTATCAAATAAGCAGATGAAGTGAAACTTGCTTAAAGCTAAAGCACAGCACACAGCTAAAACTGAAAGGATCAACCACGAAAATTTCATCTCTTTCTTGACATTTCAAGCTGATCCTTGCAGCACAATCACTACCAGATTTCTTTTCAGAAGCTGAAATTCTTGGCAATCTTAGCAGTTTGCAGTTGCTTCTGTATTCCTGGGTATGCAGGACTGGATGTAACCTCAATCTTGATAAGACACTACCCAGCTTCTGCACATCACACCACACCAGAATGGGTGACAAAACAGCAAAATTAAGGGTTGCCAGCACCTCGCTGCCTTTGCTTACAATATCTGAGCTAAAGAAGTGAGATCTCAGGCTCTCAGTGAACACCAAACCTTCCCACTGGGTACAGCCAGGCACCTGTGGGACACCAGCAAGTCTTTAACCAAGAGTAGAAAGAAAACAGGTACTTACAATTTGCTTCTGTTTAAGCGGTTTCACAGAATAACTGCCATCAACGTGCTTGCAGGGAAAAAAAAACATTAAAGCATTAAACACCTGCAGTGTACAAATCAAAATGGGCTCATTTCAGAGCTGGTGTCTGCTGGCTAAGGGGAGAGTGGGGTGTGTATCAGCAGGACAGCCTGGATGGCTGCAGTCCCTCCCAGCAGAGTGAGTGGAATGGGGTATTGGAGAGCTATTGGTCTGCTCCCGTGCAGAGCCAGTAGACTTAGCTCAAGTTAAACCTGGCTGAAGTGGGTCAGAGCCCACACAAAACTCCCCTGGCACACTGGATGCTTTCAGGTTGCAAGCAGTCCAACTAGGAGCAGACACTTCTTAGCCAGTCCAGCAATTCTTGGCGGGGGATATTTGTTAACACTCTAAATAACACCAAGTGACAGAGTCACTCGAGGCCAGAGCCCTGACAGAGCAAGGGGCTGCCATGAGGCTGAGAACAAGGTTTGTCCACTGGATGGAGTCAGAAACAAGTCCCATGTGCTCCACATCCTCAGAGCTGTGAGCCTTTCATTTGCTCAGTGGCAGCAGGCACAGCTGGAACAATTCTGTGTGTGCCTGGTGCCAGAATTAGTGATAGGTGTCGTTTGCCAGTTCTACTTTCCCCATCATCCACAAGGGCCACTAAACTGAAAAAAACCAACTCCTCTGGCACAGCCTAGAGAGCAGCAAAGGACACTCAGGGGATACTCCAGCAGGTCCTGTGAACAGCAGCAGATCTGCATCTGTTTGCTGAAGGAGTCTCAGAAGGAAGGGACAACAACATCACACCACAGATAAAACAGTCCTGTTTTCAGGCAAACAAGTTTCTGCCTTTGGAGGAGCTGCAAGGTCAGACTACACACAGGATCAAGGTTATTCCTCTGATCTTAAAGATACATACAAATAGCAAGTTACCAAGTGCTGCTGGTCTGTTTTTCCTCTGAACAAGCTCTGGGGATCAGCAGTGCTTATTTATCAAGGACTTCCCCTGGATTTATAGACCTACACTTCAAAAGCTGCAATTACTTTTAAGAATGGAGAATGTCTTTTAACCAAACAGGGAGGATGAGGAACTCAACATGTACTTTGCCTTGTGACTTTTTATTAGAAGGGAGATATTAATCTTGTTTTAAGCATTCAGTAGAAGATGAGAAGTAAGAAGTGGCTGAACTATGACTGAAGGATTCCAGTGTGGGTTTTTTTCACATCAGCCAGAGGAAACTACAGTAACATCCCTGTCCTGGTCCTAGGGGTGCTGCTATCTCCATCTCATTTCTGACAGATGTCCAATTGCCAGGAGTAGAGCTACCTACAAAGCCAGTGCTCAGAGCAGCCTTTCTAACAGAGGAAAACTCTCTTTCTTCACAGACAAAGTCCAACAAAAAAAGCAACCTAGAACACTTGGAGCATCTTCCAGCCATATGTTTCCTTAGGACTGACTGTGCTTGCCATGCCCTCTGACTCAGCTTGTCACCATCCACATTATCCACCTCAGAGGAACAGAATTAGGACCTGGCAGGAACCAGGCAGACTGAGATACAGAAGTCAGCCACCTGCCAGCTGGGAAGTGAAGAATTTCCAACAGCACAGAACTGATGCTGCTCCCCTCTACATTTCCAGATCTGCTCTAGCACCTCCTGCCTCAGCTCAGCATGTCACTACAAGTATTAGCTGCCCAGAAAATGTGTCTGCAGTATTACCACAACCAGACACAAGAGGGTTATGCTATGGATAGGTTCAGTTATAGATATTACAACTGTTTTCAGGGTCCAGTTACCAAGGGAAGAGAGTTTGTTATCAAGGCTTGTGCACACAGCATGGCCTTACCATGTAGGCAGGGGTCAGCTACATCAAACACACCACTCAAAAGCAGTGGAGCTCAGACTTCATGCAGGATGCATCCCAATCCTTCCAAGAGGGCTTGGTCCTGTGTGTAAACTCAGGCCTAACAATGGTGCAACAGAGTCTGGACACAGCACATTCAGTTCTGCAAAAATCATGAAGCCCTGGAAAACTGCATAGCAGCAGCCATGGCCAACACCTTCCACCCTCCATGGGAACACACCCTCTCCACACACAGGAAACAGCTCTGCCATTCCCTGAGTGACCAGCTCAGGTACAAATGATAATTACAGGCTGCACAGCAGCTGCTGCAAATGATTCTTTGTACTACAGCAGCACCAGGAACCCCAGTCACAGGCCAGGACTCTGCTGTGCCAAGTGTTATATAAATACAAACTAATGACCTGTGGAAATGCTTACATACACAAGAACAGGGACAGAGGGATAAAAACCCCCTCATTTACCTTTTCAAATGCAGCCAGAAGAACATGAGCATGACCAGTGACCTCAACCACCACTGTAAAAAGAGAAAGGGCAGAACTGGTTAAACCTCTCAGGCACAATAAGCATAAAAGTACACTGAGTTGAATTTTAGTCCACTTAAAATTTCTGAACTGCCATCTGTTCTATTTTCACCTTCTCCTGAAAAAAATAGAACTTTTCTTATCTTGTCATCAGGTTGGTTCAGAACAGAGCAAGAACAAAACCCTGCTGGGCTCTGTGGTGGGCCCTATACAACCATGCCTTCATTGTCCTGGGTGCTCCAAATTATCCCATTTTGTTAGCAGAGGTTGGAAAGGGACAGTAAACCAAAGCACTCAGTGGGATTCTCCTGTCCCCTGAAATTCCTGGGCTTAATTACCTGAATTTATCACAGATGTATCTGGTTTAACAGCAACTGGCAGCATTCCAGCCCTGTTACTTATTACTTCACTTCAGTCTAGTCAGACATGCTTATAAAACATTTATTTCTCATACCAACTTCACACACTGAAACTTCTCTGTCCAGCTTTCCCCAAAGACAAGCATTTTCCCTCTTCCAAACTTGAGGGTTCCCTCTTAATCCTACAGCAAGAGAAGGGGCTGTCAGAGATTTCAGTCATGCATTCCTGGCTCCTTCAGCAAATAGAGAGAAGAGGAGGTGAGGTACAATGCCAGTCTCTCTCAGGACTCTGAGGTTCTGTTCAGCTCCAGCTGGTTGGATCCTTTTCCTGAATCCTCTTCAGATTCATCATATGGAAATGGGAGACAGAGTTTGTGAAGGAGTCACAGAGAGAAGGGAAGGCATGGAAGCACTCATCCTGCTTGGAGTGATGAGGGCTGTGCTCAGCACAGGCAGGAGAGCTCTGCCTGGAAGGTGCAGCTCAAGAGAGAGCTGCTGCTCTGTCTAAAAGGGAAAGGACTTCCACAGCTTCCTCTGGGCTCCCAGAACAGCAGAGACAACAGAGGAACCATTCCCTGGGCTATGGCACACAGACCATGTTTGGAAACAGTCCTATGTGAGAGAGGGGAGATTTGCCTCAGGTTTGCTGGGTAACTGAGGTTGGTCATGGCAATTTGGAGGGAATCAGGAACACAGGGAAATGCAGAAAAGGGGGTTAAAACTGGGAATTCATCTGCTTGCTCCTCTCACTGCCAGCCAAGAGCAAGGCTGCTCTATCTCTCAGAGCAAACAAAATTCAGGTCCTTTCCCTCAGTCTGAATGGCCAAGGAAGAGGTAACAATTCCTGTCTGTGCATTCCAGGAGTGTGTGTGTGTGGTCAGAGTGGTGTGACCTGCTCTGTGCAGCACCTTTCCTTCCTGTTCTGTGCCTCTCCCTGGGAACAATCCCACTGGCAGCAACGGGGCAGGGCTAACACTGCAAGCCATGGCAGAGTTCAGTCCAAAGCAGCATCTCCCTGACTGCTATTTTAATTTACTATACAACCTTATTTAACACAAGTGGTTCCAGCTGTAATTTTCCAGGTGCTCTAAACACACCATGCCAGTTCCTTCCAGTCCCATCAGTTAAAAAAAAGAACCAAAATACACAATTTCCTCAAATCTCGCTCAAATGTCACATATTTTTGTGCTGATATTTTTTTCCAGGAGGGGATTTAAAAGCAGTTGGTTTTCTAGGTTATTAAAATAGATGGGAGTACATTATTGGCTAAGACTGGGAATGGTATGTGCATAAATGTATGCTTCCCATACTGCCTCCTGTTCTATTTTTGATCCTTCTAGACATGCTCAACATTAGAGAGTATAAACACCTTGCCAGAAGTTCCATAAACAGAGGAAGCTGTTTTATATTTATGGTCAAGAAATACACATATATGTCGATTTTACTAATGGTGCCTGAAATCACTAAAAATAGATGCACTTTAGAAGTAATTTCCTTTATGTTGCACTGTGCTTTGTTAGTCACACTTTAAATTGGCTTATTCAGTTCTATTTCTGTCTGCTTGGAAGACTGTAAAATAATGTAATGAGTTTCTGGGCTTTTTCACATCTTTACAACATAAACTGAGCAAGTGACTGACCTGAACAATGTAATCAACAATGGATTTTTTTTTTCTTTTCTAATTATCTTAAATTTTGTACAAAATGGTACAGAAGTGAAATGCTGGTCCTGCTGACCATAAAAGCCCCCAGTTTCAAAGAAAATGTGACTTCCTTGTGCCCTCTTCATTGCTGATGCTCCAGATGAGCCTGAAAGCACACATCCCCTCAGGGAAATACCATGTAAGGTGATTAATAATCTAAAAATTCACTGGACTACCCTCTCCAAAACAGCAGTGTGCTTTAAAAATAATCATCAATTAATCATAATTCCAAATTATGATTAGTTATTATTTTGTACATAATCAACAATTATTTCTCCTGAAAGGTTATGCTCTTTTATTATAACAATTCAACATCCTCAGAAAAAGCACAATTTCAAACTGCTGAATGAAGCTGCATTTAGCTGAAGAGTGACCTGAGTATTTTAAAGCCATTTCCTTTTCTCTGCCCATTTCCAGGTTTTTTAGGAAGACAACTGACCCCTCCAAGAGGGAGAAAAGACCAGCTTCACCCTCCTTGACCTATAAACTGCAAAAGCAAAACCCAACAAGCAAGGATGTCATTTGCTGTAATTTGTGTGCCTGGCACTGGTGGCAGAGCCAGGAGCTCTCCTAAACACTACTCCAACACTAAATACCTGGCCATTTCTCCTGTTAAAAAAATGAAGGCTATTTTTTAAAGTATGTTTTTTATGTGGTTAGCTTGGCCCTTTTAATAAAGGGAAGTTGTGGTGAACTCCTGAAATATTTTTATTCTGGATATGCTCCCCAAGGAGGCCAGTCCTGAAAGAGGTCACAGAAGCTCAGAGAGGGCCAGGAGAAGACCATGGGAACAGAACATCCATTCTTACCATCCCCTTCATCCACCACTGCCCGGATGACCACAGGGAACACACCACGGTCCAAGTCAAAGTTCAGCTGAGAGAAAGAAATGAGCTGAGGTTACACAATTCACACCAGGCTTGTCTGAAGACAACACTTCATGTTAGTTCAATGAAGGGCCCTTCTGACACATCTCCAGTTCCAGGTCTCAAAAGGAAGCAGGAGGATTCAAAATTCCAGGCACCAACTTTAAAAAGGAGTCAATTACAACATAAACACACATTGATGTGGCACTAAACACCAGCAAAGCAAGGAAAAGGATCTCAGTTTGAATTCCAAATGATATTTAATTCTCATTAATTCATATATCCTAAAATTCTTCTGAGTGATTTGTAGTTTCTCAAAATATATCAATATTTTGCCACAATTTTTCCTGCATACAACAGGATAAATTGGCTTTAGCACAGCAGCACATTGTGCTCCCAACACCACAAAGAGACTCTGGCTCTGGAATGAAGCTCCTGAAGACCTAAGAGGAAAATCTGCAAAATTTCAAGCTCACACAACACTTTGAGGAAACACTGGACTGATTTTTATCTCTTGGCATGTTATGAAATGCAGGTTCCTGAGCTTCTAATTGGTGAGAGTGAAAATCTGAGTATAAGGGAAACAGTCTGAGTTTCTCCCTTTGCCCTACACTTCATTAAAGCACATCAAAAGCTCTGTGTCGTCTTAGAAATACAAGGAAAAGGCAACCTTACAAACACTGTCCTAAGCCAGGAATGGAAGTGGCTCAGACACTGGATTTCTGGTTTTTTTTGTTAATTACCAACTTGGATGTTTTTGTCTCATCTCTTTCCAAGACTGAAAAAAAAAGGATGTCATTTCACCCTGATGCTCCAGGTAATCTGTTTTCAGTTTCTCCATGAAAACTGAGACCAAATTCCAGGTGCTGCAGCACCATTCAGACAGTGCTCTGGGGCTTCCATCACTTTGCCACAGCCCCAACATCATCTGCAGCCTGATTTGCTCCAGTTCCTCAAAAGATAAACCATTTGAAGGGAAAGTCACATCACAGAACTGAGGTTGCTTTACCATATAAACTCCAGTGTTCTTGAACAAAAGGCCTCTTTAAGGCACCATTTCACATTCATTTTTAGGGCCCTGAACATAACTCACTCAACACATGCCATACTCTATGATTTCTAAGCAAATCAGTAAATGAAGAAGATAAAATATACTTTTATAAGGCTTTTCACAGAACAGCCCAAAATAACATCAGTCTCTCTCTTTCCCCAGCCAAGACCTACATCATCAGAGTATTACACTAAGCAAAAATATGAAATAAATCTGGGGGTTTTGAACAACACCAATAACAAAGCTGGAAAGAAATGTGAAATGTCAACTGTACATAGCTAAGACACTGCCAGCTGTCTCAGATAGAAGTGCTGCATTTTGGTGGCCAGTTAGGAAGATTGAGGACAAGGACCAATATGTAACACAGAGCTGGCATGGGAGGCAAAACTCTTTAGAATCACAGTGCTTGTCCCACATTTTTTCCAGCTCCCAGTAACACCAATGAAAAAAAAGAGGAAACAGAGGATGCAGCAGAACAAGCAAAGAGAGCTGGAAACTCACTTTTCCTTTAAGCTGTAAAAGGGATATGACTTTAGTACTTGAGTTAAAACCTTGCTGACAGGAACAAAAGTGAAAATTAAGCTTCTCAATTCTTTAAGAAGAAAGGGAACTGAGCTCTCTCAGACAACAGAAGGGATTGAAAAGCAGCTCTTCCAGGCTTTTGTAGGCTGAGCTTGTGAAATCATCTATTGGCAGAGAAGCCAAGACATCAGGAGACCAGACTCTGCAGGCTCTTGGTAACCACTACAGCATTTGTTAAGGCACGGGACTGATTATAGCTGTAACTGTAACTTCAGGACAATAGCTATTCAATCTTTCAAATACATGAAAGATTACTTTTTTCCCCCCTGTTTTTCCCCTTTTCTTTTTTAATAGGTAGAGTCATCTACCAAGGTTCACACACACAATACACTTGCACAGGCTTGGGTCAGGAAATGAACACCATAATCAGCGTGCACTTCCTGGGAGAGGGGTCCACAGGAACAAATATATTAGCAGTAGCTCCAGAACAACTAATCTGCCTTTGACATCTCTAATCACAATTCTGCACAGAGCAGGGGAAAGACCAAGGCTTTCCTTCCCTATGCCACGTGCAGGGGAAGCCCTTGGGTCAAAGTTTTAAGACTCAGAAATCAGAGGCTTACTGCCCATGTTCAAATTTTGCAGATACCAAAGATACCAAAATTAATAGGATACCACAAATCTTGGTATGTAGAAAAGTTACAAAGCTTAATTAAAACCAAGCCCTGGTCTGTTTGCAGTTATGGGTTAAATTAAGAAGAGGAAAACATTCCCTTATTCAGCATTGATGCACCAGTGTAAATCTGCCCCAGAAGAATATCCCTTCAAAACACTGTAGTGCTACAGATAATAGTGCAGGATGTGGCCCTTTAACAGAACAGGACCCTTCAGAGTAGTGGTCTCCAAACTATTCTGACTATTCATCCCATCAGTAATGTGTTTTGAGCACATATTCCCAATATATGTGTGTTATATACATGTATTTCTGAAGTCCTTGCCCCACCCCAATGAATTGTATTGCATGAACCCCACTTTGGAAACCACTGTTCTAGAGGACCACCCAAAAACCCCCAAAATCTTAAAACTAAAACCCACAAAAACAGAGATCATGACAGACATTTGCTCCCACAAGCTCTTTGGCTGGCAGGGAGAGGAAGGCCAAGGAAAGCAGGTTTTCCAGGAAAAGCTCCAGTGTCAATCTCTGCAGCCTCACTCCTAAATCAACTGATCAGTGATATCAAAATCACTTCTCTGGATTTCCTCCCAGTTGGCCTGATCTGCCTGCCAAGTTCCCATACTGCTCCTCCCAGGGCAGTACCCACAAAACACGCTGGAGGAGCTGGGAGAAAGTGTCCTCCAGCCATAACTTCATGGCACTGAACAGAGCCACTGCTTCTGGGACAACAGGCTGTGGAAAGAAGAGGACACTGAGAAGACACTTACCTCATCATCCTTCCACTCTGAGAAATCAATCTTGAAGGAAGGCAGGGAGAATTGCTGGCTTACCCCTCTCTTGTAATGAACTGTCTCGGACTGCAGAGAGGGATTCTTTGTGCTGTATCTGAAGGAAGGGGGGAAAAGAAAACTCACTGTAACAAAGGACAGCTCCCTGCTCAGCTCTCTCTCACTCCCACCCGTCGGCCTTTCAGGAATCACAAGTGGCAGCTCTAAGGGCAGAGCTGGCAGGGGCTGGCAGCCATTCAGTGGGGACACAAAGAGGGAAGGGAAAGGTCAAAGCAAGAAGGTGAGCACAGGAAAGAGAAAGCAGCGCAGACAGGCAAGGTCTGATCGTGTCTATGCTGACCTGCCTGGGTGTTGGAGTACAGGGGGGTGCAGCAGCTTGGCAAAGGTCTGCTCCCTAAATCCATGGCCTAGGCAATGCTGGCTTTAAGCCCAGCACAGTCCTGATTTCTGCAGGAAACCCAGGAAGAACGAACTATGACCCAACACTGGGAACAGACAACCCAGCACGTGCTGAAAGCTCTCCTGTGCCTCCATGGGACAGCTCCACAGTGGGAAACAATGCTTGGCTTCCACCATCCTGCTGAGCCATTCCAATCCACTCCTCAATCCCTCCTGTGCTTCCCCAGGGGTATTGCAGGGCTACCAACACCACCTGAGAGACACCAACCATCCTCCACCCCGGCCACCTAGAGAAGAGTCACAATTCTTCCACTGTGTCAAAGCTTGTCACTGAAACACCAGCACTGCCAGGCTGGGATAAACATCTGGAATGGGACCACAGCTGCCACCCAGCATCTTCTGCACCCTGAACCCACCTGGTGCTGTCCTCCCCAGGAGCCATTTCCCTGCCCACTCCCCCTTTCAGGAGGGTGATGTCTTGAGCTGGATGTGCACAGCCTCCCCCAGTTCTGGCACAGGAGAGGAGACAGTGAACCCCAAAGCAGGGTGGGAACAGCTGAAGCTGCCTTCACCACCAAAGCCTTTCTTGTCAAATTAACAACTGTGTGTTCAGAGCACACTGACAAACTGGAGAGGTGAGAGATCTGCCCAAGAGACACTGCAGCAACATCCTCCCTCAGCACAGTAACAAGACAGGCTCCAGCTCTACAAGAAAATCCTCTGCCTTTCTCTGGAAAGCTACAGCAGTTCCTGCACTCTCTGAGGATCCAGAAGGTCAAGTGTCACAAGATCCATGTTAAATGCTGGAAGGTCATGACAAAGAGCAGGCTCACCCTGTACACTCTGCTCTTCCTGCCAAGGCAGGTGCATTAAGTTATTTATGACAATACCCTCAGAGCCCATTCTGTACTGTGCTGAAATTGTGCTGCTCTACTAGAAGGTCTCACTCCATCCTTTGCATTTCAAGCATGGTGTGGGGGAGATCAGAATGACAGGTCTTTTATATGTGAATTACAGAGCGAGCAATTGAGTGAAGTTTTATTTACTGAGTTGTCAAGCACAATGAATAGAGCAAGCCTGTATCTAGCTCCTTTTGTGGCACTCTCAAAGCTTCCCAGCTCTGCAGAGAGGCACAATTCTCTCTCCACAGCTGGGAAAGCAGGGGATGGAAGAGTGACTTATCTAAGGTGACAGCAAGTCAGGAACTTACTGGAAATAAAGTGCAGAGGAGAGAGTGAAGGTAGGAATGAGATGTAAACATGATGCTGCTGAGTGCCAGCAATGCTGGAGAACCTGCATTTACAGTACCAGAAACCCAAACTAAGCTGCAACAGAAAAACAAATAACACTCGTCCAAGGAGGACAGGGCAGAATAATACTCACATTGACTCACTGCTCTCACCGTCCCTGGGAAAAGAAATAAATCAGGCACACAGATTTTCTGAGCTGAAGAGTAGGATAAAACTATCAAGGAGGCTTCCCCAAGTGAGCTTTATGTCTCAGACTGCGAGTGCCAGGCCCCCATTGCCAAAACACATCAGACTTGGATCTGAACACCCAGATAACTCTGACCACCTCCAGCCAGCAGCCAATGGGCTGGGGAATTCCCTGGAAGCCTGATGACCCCTGACTGACACACAGAAATGGAGCATCCTTCCAATGTGATGCAAAGGTTCTCTGCACAAGACAACGCTCCCTGTGCTACACAGGAGTGAAACTTGACGAGCTGTTTCAAAGCAGATATCCTGCATATCAGGATAAGGGTCTAAGGGGCCTCTACCCATCCCCTGCCCCCTTGCTTGGCATCTGCTGTATTCACAGTCATCTATTCCCTGCCTGTGCTGCTGGGGGCTCACAGCAAACAATAGCAGGGGGGCTCTGTAGAGCCGTGCAGATGTGTGACAGGAAAAGAGAGCATGTGTCAAAGAATAAAGGACAGCAGAGAAGCAACATGCTGTCCCTCTCTGCATGAAGTATGAAAGCTGAATGAGCTGCTGTTGCTCAGACTGCACTCGGCCAGACCTCCATCCAGAGGAGGACAAAACTGCCTTGTGACCTCTGGCAGCTCAGGATAGTGGAGAAGTGAGGGGCGCCTGTCCTATAAGGTCAGGACCAAACAGAAATCCTCAGTCATTATTTTAAACCTGTTTGTTTGCTCAGGTAGCCCTGACAGCACGAGAATCATGAGCAACCTGAGGTATCCCACTGCTGGCTGCAGCAGCAGCCCCCAGCTCTGTCCTCAGGGTTCATGCAGCCCATCTCCTCCTGGGAGCTCTGTGAAGCTCTGTGACACCTTTACTCACAAAAAGCAAACTACACTCTGCACTGACTCCTTCTTCCCTCGTGTCAAACCCTTCTACCTCCAAAGCCAGCTGTGTATCAGAGAACCATCAGTGACTATATCCCAGGGACTTCTGAGAGAACAGGAACAAACTAAAATTATTCCTCAGTCTCACTCTTCCCCTGTCAACTGAGAAGCACTCACTGCTTGCACAGAGAAATTTAGTCTGTGGCACCTGCAGGCCTTAAGTAGCTCCCTAGACAAAAGTGTCATGCTGGAGTTTGGCCAAGCACAGTTAAACTTCTGTTGCTCTATGTTCTCTGGGATGTTTCCCCCTCTCCCTCATCCCTGGCCTGTGCCTGGGGAAGTTCTCAGCAGGGCATCAGTCCCAGCTCCTGCAGATTTCTTCACTGCTGTGCTCCCACTCAGCTGTGCCTGGCACTGGGGCTGTCTGGGGCAGTCAAAGGACAGGTCCTGTTCCCACAAGCACACTGGGACCCCTGAGAAGTGCCACACAAGGACACTTGCCAGGCTGCCTGACTTACACAGAACACTGTCCAGACCCCATTCCTCAGGAAAAGCAGGATGCATGGAGCAATGGTGCCTCTAGGTAACACTTTTGACTAGAAATGGCTGAGAGAATCTGTGCTTTGAAGAACCTGTAGACAAAACAAGAGTCCTTTTTCTTTAGTAGCAGCTAAAGTGTTTCAATCTGTAATGAACCAAGGACAAGGAGAGCTTTAGAGGGTACTCAGGAAACAATTCTGCCACTCCACAGGCTGTGACTGCCTGGCAGGCTCCATGTCCTCTTACAAGTGATGAGGAAGGAGTCAGTCAAGTTCTGCTGGTGTTCAAAGGAGACAGGAGGTGATGTGGAACAAGTATCCTCTCCTCCTCTCTCTCCCACCTGCTCATTCTCCTTTCATTTTGAGGCAGGATCCCACAGGTCAGCTTTTGGGGAAGAGGGAATTTGAACAAATGTTTCAACTCTAAGTGACTTTTACTGATCAAAGAAACACTACCAGACTACAGGAAGGCCAATGCCCTGGGTCTCAGTCAGAATTAGACAAAATCCATCCCACAGAGGCTCCCATAAGGAGTTTGGAGGATAACCAGGTGCTAAGGTACTGCACTCCAACCTCTGAGAGTCTTCCACTTCCCTCCTTCTTCCTTCAGGACCGAGTTTCCACTCCAAACCAGGCAAAGACAACCACATGCAGCTGAAAGCCCAGTGCCCACATTCCCTTCAGCCCCTGCAGAGCTCTGTCTCCAGCTGCTGGGAGCCCCACACTCCCAGCTCCAGCCAGGCTGCAAAGCTCACACAACAGCTACACAGAGAGGCACAAAGGCCACAACTCTTAAGACAGACAGAGGGTTTGTCTGCTCACTGAAATCTATAGAATTTGGCTCTCCAGCCTGTGAACTCTGCACACTCCAGTGTTCCCTTGGGGACTGGTGTGTGCCTGGATCAAAGCCATTAAGGCTTGTTCCTAGCAAAACCCAGCACTCGCCTCTGATTTCTTCACACAGAAGAAATCTCTGCACAAAGAATTCATATTAATCACCACAGCCCAAAGCAGCAAGAGCACCTTTCAAAGTCCCTTAACAGACAGAGGCTATTAAACAACCAAAGGAATACTTGAGTGCCTCTGTCTCCCACGCAAGTTTGAATGACAACAGCCGTGTGCTGAGCTGGATTTCATTTTGTGACCCAACTCTTCAAACTTCCACACGCAGACAGAGCAGGGAATCACTGCAGAGTCATGTCCCCCATCAGCTCAGAAGACCGTGGGAGGAGGTTTGGGATGAGTGTAGAGGGCCTTGCATTGCAAAACAAACAAGGAAATGGGGTTTATTTTTTTAATAAATCCATTTGCACATCAGCAACATAAACAGCATAGCCCTGGAAAGGGCAAGGATTGCAGAGCTAGACTGACCTATTTTCATTCTGTTTTCTCTTTATAGTGAGAAAATAGAACTTGGCAACAAGCACTGGGATATGGGAGAGAATATTTTCTGTCCAAAAAGGAAGAACTTTTTCATAAGAATGGGCTGCAAGACTCAAATCTCTCACGTCATATTTATCATGAGTTCCTGATCTGCCTGGATTGCTCATGCCTTCAGAACTGGCTCTTTTAAGTGCTTCCAGCTACAGGCTTGGTTTGACTTCTTCCCCTGAGGAAAGAACTGCTGCTGTCATGTTTGAACTGTGCAATCCTTCCTGCTAGTCAGCAGGACACCTACAGCTGGAAAAGTCCCAGGGGCCCTCCCAGGAGCAGGCTAATGGTGTGCACATCCAGGATTTTGCCAGACAAGGCAGGGATGCATTCACAGGCAGTGCAGCATTCATAAAAAGAGAATAATAATATCTCTGCAGCCTGCTGCAAAAACACACTTGTCTCTCAAACCAAGGGTATCTAAGGTACAAACACATGAACCAGTTACTGTAGGAGAAGGCAGGCTACAACTGGGAGTGTTTTAACTGTTCTCTGTGAGCTGCTGCCAGCCCTGCAATGGAAATGCAATGCAGAGTGCCCTCTCCTTTATCTGGAGGGAAATTACATTATGGGCAATCACCAGTGAGTAGCTGAGGTACAGCTCACACACCTCCATGTTTCTCCCGATTTCCAAAACTAAAGAAAATAGACACAGCCAGAAAAATAAATAAAACTGAAGATACTGGGGGTCTTGAGCTGTTCAGAGGGAGGTCAGTGCTAGTTCCTTGCCACTAAAGAGACTTAGCCATAGGTAGATCTCTGTTACCCTTGGGGTGATGCACTAGCTCATCCTCTGAGAACTGATGTGTTTAATCTTTAGTGAGTTCTCACCACAAAGTAACAAGCAAAAGACATTTCAAAGGTGAGAGGAGCAGCCCCCTCCAGATTTAAACTAATTTCTGTTTCACCCAAAAGGCTTCTACAAATATCTGCACTAGCACCAGAAAGCACAGGGGCCCTAGGCATGGGGCTGCAGAGGTGAACACACCTCTATAATCATCAACACAACCACCTTCACCAGACCTTGCTGGTCATCTGCAGTCCCACAAAAGGGATGACAAAGCTCCCTGTGAGTTCAACAGTTCAAGACGAGAGGCAGGAAGCTGTTGGGAGCTATGTGTCCCCAGGATCTTGGCTAGGAAACACTGCAGCTGAGCAGATCTCCCAGCACAATTACCTGGGAAAGCTGAATGTACTTTGAGACAGGTTAGGACAGGACTGACAAAGCCACCAGCTTTTAAATGGAGCCCAAATAACTCCAGAGGAAGCTCCCTGGCTTGCAGAAAGGCTTCCCCTTGGTCATGGAAACCAGCTAATCCCAAAGCCAGGCCCAAGTCACAGTGCTGTGGTTCTCAGGTGACAGAGGCTCCACAACAAGCAAAGCCATTGCTCAGGGAGAGCCACCTTCCCTTCCCTCCCCTCCCTCCTCTCACCCCAAACTGCATGACCTTAACCACGTTCCTGGCAGGAGTTCTGCAGGAGTGCTGATACTATCAAGATCAGTGGCTGTTCCAGCAGAGAAGCAGGAATAACTTGTTTAGCACTTCTAAGGAGCCATGCTGCAGGCTGAAAGCTGGGAGAAAATTCCTGCTTCTCACAGGGAACCAGAAAGTTTCTCCCATTTTAGGATTCAGCATTGATTTAGGAGAGTGGAAAAAAAAAAGGTATTTTGTTTTAAAGAGCATCTTCATCCCAATCAAGTGCAATAGAAGAAGTTTTGAATTTATACACAGGACTGCTTTTGCACATGCTTGTTCCATGAATGCAGCTGTTAGCACCAAGAGATTAAGGAAAAGGAAAATCCAGCAGCCCAGGCAGGGAAATGCTGCATTCCTGTTCGTGCACTGAAAATGCACTCACTCCACTCAGAGCTTTAAGAATGCAGCCCATATTTTTTTTTTTTCCACTAGAATTTGAAAAGAATAAATCAAAGTAATTACAGCACTGCCCTTACAGAATTGCTTTGCAAAGCTGAAATCAGAGCTTCAAAAGGTTTTTACTAGCAGCCAGCAAATCCAGAGAAGCAGAGATGCCTACTTGGGCAGCTGCACTGGCCCCAAGACGTGCTACAGGAGCCACTTCCACATGGAAAAATAGCCTGGGTTGAATTAAAGCAGCTTATAAAGACTATATTTGTATCTGACTTCCCCCCTACACATCTGCATGAAATCAGGATCATGCCTTCCAAAAAGTTCCCTGGCTTCTGGTGCAGCCCTTCCACCCACATTTACATAACATTTATTGTTCAAGCACCCCAGAGCAGAAACAGGCAGTTCATCATTCCTGTATTATGAAGAAATTAAAGTATGATTTATTAAATGGAAGGCCAGAAGTGGAAGAAAGAGCTGAATGTGGATGCTTTGACCTGTTAGAAGGTTTAGTGCACCAGAGACTGTTGCCACCCCAGGATTCCATCTGCTAATTTTTCATTAGTGGGGAAATCACTGATGATCCTGGTTTCATGCAGAGGGTTCCTGAACACAGGCTTCAGCTCTACTATTAACAGAGATCCCTCTCTCACTGAACCATGGACAGGGTGGATTAAAAAAAATCACATTTAAAAAATAAGTTCTTTGAAGTCGTCAGCTCTGTTCATGTTCAGAAACTCTACCTAGGAATTGTTCAAATTTAATTTAAAAGCCATTGGGTAGTTCATGTTTGCTGCACAAGTTTTAAAGGACAGATAATAATAGCACTGGTGATAGTCACTGGCTCCTTGTATGGCACTAAATTTTAGAAAAAAAGTGAAGGTTCTTAAGTGAACCAAAACTTGTATTTTCTTCCTCCAACCAATCAACCAAGAGGAGAGCTACGAGTTACAGAGGACTGAAAACACTCTCTGTCCAGAACCAGTTGGTTATATTTGGTACCTACAACAATTCTATTAAGCAAATATTCTTCAAGGCACAACTTGACAAGAGAGTCTCTTAAGAGAGTCCAACATGAGCAATTTAACCAACAAGAACAAACACTGCTGGTCTTGGGTCACTCAGGTACAGTTCCAGCCCAACACAAACTGGTTCAAGTTGTGAGCTAAAAAAAAATTAAAATGTTTCTTTTTAAAATAACTTTGGGTTATTGCCATTTTGGCATAAAATACAAAAGTGGGAGTCTGAAAAATAGATTTTAAACTATATGGATATTCTTTACAGACTGTGGCATTAAAAATATAGCACATGATTTGAGATGAAGCTCACTGTGCTGTAGATGCAGATGTTTCATTGCTACTGACCAGTGACAATGAAATTCTCCTTCAGGGTAAACCAACAGGGAAAATAAAATTGAAATCAATGCTTTAAACCAAGCCTCACTGATTTAAGCCATGGCTTAAGTCTGGCAATGTAAATACATCCACCCTGGCCATAGAAGCCCTCAGTTCTCCCCACGAGCCCATGGATGGTTTCCTTCTTAGGTCAAAAACCAAGAACACTGCAGGGCAGCAGGAGGGACACTGGCCACCTCTCCACGTTGTACCTGTGTTAGGGAAAGAGGACTTCAATCTCCAAGGCTGCCATTCCAACACCTCCACTAGCACTAAATTCACAGGAAACCTAAAGACCTAAGAGACAGAACATGGAAACTTTATCAGGATTTCTAAGGCATCCTGCTGCATTCAGCTCTGCTCAGGAAAAGCTGGAGCTAAACAGAAATTGTATTCAGAGCTGGTTGAGAGATAATTTCCAAGCACTTTAAAAAAGAGCTCATTTATTACCTTCCCAAAATAAAGGCAGCCATTGGCTTCAACAGAAGAAGGGAAAGGGGTCTAACAAAAATTCTGGATCAGGATATCCTCCAGTTTGAAGGAATGCAGATCTGGATTGGAGAATTGAGCCACTCTCATTTCTAAAAATACACTACTCATTGATCATTAGTGGGATGTTTATACCTTGCATAAAACAAATGAGCCCTCTTACAGTTTGTCATAGGTGGTTCTCCCTGCTGAAGCCTCTGCAGGTCCCTTCAACCAAGGCAAAGTTTAGCCCCAGCTCCAGAGCATCACTGCAGAAGCCATCAGCACTATGTCCAGGAGCCTCTGGTCAGCCAAAAGCCTCTACTAGAGGAAGCCAAGAGCTTCTGCAGCCTGAATCTTCCTTTACCCTTGGAGCCAAAGGAATTTTGTCCCATGGCAATTGGAAGTGCATCATACCATACCAGCAGCTCACGTGTACCCAACTCACACCAGGCAGAGCACATTGCAGCCACCTTTGCTCTGAACATAGAGAGGAAATTTTTCATAGTCTCATGGGATACAGTGTTGACTGGAATGGTTTAAATGTGCTGATTTAGATAAAAAGGTTTTAAAATCTGGAGGGATGTACTATCAGGATATGAGAAGGTTCCCACAGATGACTTTTTGGTCATTTTTTCCACAGCTAACCAAAGACTAATGTGTACATGGCAGGAAACACACACATTCAGGGTTTCAGGAAATAAATCCTCTCCCATCTCCCAACAGCCAGTGTTGAGCTGGGCATTTATCCCAAAATGGGCTTTGGGTGGGCCTCAAGCCCACAGACTCGCTCTGTTAATGTCAGACTGAACTTTACTTTGGTGGCCCAGATGCTCCTGTCACAGGGAACACAGAAAGGCAGTGAATTGGGGGATCTGGGAAGAAAAATAGGTAGTATGTGAAGAGAAGGGTGGTTGGTTTCTTAATTTCACAGAACACCTCGTTGACAAAACTTAAAGGTGTGAGTTCCTCTCCTTTGCTGCACACAGAATGGTTTCCCTACACCCTGAAACTAAACCAAAAAGGGAACAAGAGGAGATATTGGCTATGTGAGGGAATTGAAAGTAACATTCAAAGTTATCAGAAAAAAAAAGATATTTCCCACTCTACCACGTGTGGCAGCACGGCCTCAGGGGTGATTAATGAGAGATCATTAATTAATGAGAGATCATTTGACAGCTCATCATCCCAGCTCCTGTGCCCCTCCACAAGCCCAGGACTTACACGGCCATGCCACCAACAAACTCCTCTGTAGCCTGGCAGTAGATTGTGATGGCAACACGGGCATCTGCATCAAAGGTGAACTCCAGGCTGTACAGGACCTTCTGCTTCCCATTCTCCTCAGTAGGGCTGTCAACATCATCTTTATACCTGAAAGACAATGCCAGAGGATTAGAACATATTTTTATGAGATATTAACAAGTTCATTCTGGAAATAAAGAGTACTCCAGCCTTGGTGTTCTGGGCAGGCAAAGCAGCCTGGGCTTCCACCTTAGGCTTCCCACATTTCCATTCCTTCCCCTGAGGAAGGTTCTTCCTCAGAAGAACCTCCCCTCTTGGAAGGCTCTTCCAAGATCTGACTGAAGTTATTAAAGTGAACTAATCAGGGTGTTGAGGGATCTCACCCAGCCTTACAGTGCCAGGACACAGAATGAGACAAGAAAGGGAGATCCTGAGTGTCAAATGCTGAGGAGAAGAAACATTCTCCTTTCTTTTAAATCCTTGGATTAGGCTCAGTATTTGGCCTAAAGAAATCCTGCATGGGCTTGAGAAATCTAAAGTGTAGTTTTTTTAACTCTGCAATGAAATAGTGCATGACAGCCAAAAATAAAGGTTTCTGTAACAAAAAGAACTCCTGAAGCTCAACAAAAGGTACCTCCAGTCTCACACAGAAGATGATATTTAGCTCAGAAAGCATCCAGATATAGGAACTTCAAACACCTTTAAATGTACAAATGATCAGCTAAACCTCTGGTGCTGTGAGGGACTGGAGCTTGCACATATTTATTGGATGAACAAAAATTAACACATCCAGCTGCAAGCAGACACATGATAACCAATAGAATGAGCTCAGAAGTTATTTTAATTAATGTAAAAGTGAGCCCTAATTTGGCTATGGGTTCCTGCACAGCTGGATCCCACAGTGTGATCACCACTGCCAGGGTTACTCCTTTTCCCTACAGCAGGAAAAAGCACAAATCCAGTGAAGAGGTATGAAGCCAGCTCTGGGGCAGTGAGCTATGGCCATGGGCCAGGGGGACTCAGGGCATGCCAGGAGTGGCCACAGAAACCAGCAGATCTTGGAACAAGCAGCCAACACAGCACACCACAAGAAAATTACAGAATGACAGAATATCCTGAGTGGGAAGGCACTCCCAAGGATCATCCAGTCCAACTTTGCCCTGCACAGATACCCCAAAAATCCCACCCTGTGCCTGAGCATTGTCCAAACACTCCTGGAGCTCTGGCAGCCTCGGGGCCGTGCCCATTCCCTGGGGAGCCTGGGCTGTGCCCAGCACCCTCTGGGGAAGAACCTTTCCCAAAATCCAGCCTGACACAGCTCCAGCCATTCCCTGGTCCTGTTCCTGTCACAGGGAACAGAGACTGGAGCTGCCCCTCGGGAGGAGCTGCAGCCCCTCTGAGCTCTGCACTCTTCTCCTGAACTGACCAAGCTCTCCCTGCCTCGAAGAGCAAAGTGACAGACAAATGGATGTGATTCACAGGCAGGGCAGCAGCAGATTCTCCATAAATTCAAATCCCATGACCACAGGTACCACTGTGAGCTCAGGCACCGTGTTGGAATGGTGAGGGCAGCAAGGCTGCCTTTGAGGTGTAACAGCACTGACTTGTCACCCAGCTCCAGCCTCACTTGTTTATCAGTAATACCTTAATTGCCACGGTGGCTGGGTCACAGCCAAGCAGCTGAACTATTCAGGAAAAGCTTGGAATCATCTCTGTCTTCACAGTATCAGCCTCTCCCCTCGCTAAACAGCCTTGATGAATACACTGTACTGTCAAAAATACTCAGAAATAGGTCAGACATACCTCCATAATTCAATCTAAAAATTGTCAAGGGAATCCTTATTTACCAAGTTCACGGACATAAAACAACTGCTGCCTAATTAAGGGGGTTCCAGCATGAATTTTATTTAACACCACACTAAACAAGAATGAAATGTTCAGTTTCAGTAATTTAATTCAGAAGGTGCAAAATAAAATTTAAGAGCAGTATAATCAAATACCCAACACACATACTTGTACTGTTGTAACCCCAGAGAGCCACTACAGCACACACCCACATTCCAGTCTGAAGGGCTTGGAGAGGCTTTTGCCAGAGGTTTTTGCACCTAGGTCAGAGCAGCAAATCAAGCTAAAAACACCCAACATGCCAGCATTAAAAAAACAAATCCCAAGAACTGGAGTCTGAACATCTGCAGAAACCTGGACACAATATGCAGTACAGAACAAGATGGTATTTTCACACAAGCTAATTGCATTCAAAGTGAAAATCATGGCACTTGAAGGCTGTAAAGAAGAAACACTGGGCAGAAGGGCAGATTTGCCCAAAGAAGATCAACAATTTGTGCTGGACTGACCCAAGAACACAGATGGCAACAATCCACTCACAAGTGTTGTGTGTGTCCAAGAGAGCAGCAGCACAAGTCACCTCTTGCTGTGCTGCACTCTGTGGATCTGAGGCTGGAAACAAAGGATCCAGGCTATGATAGCAGGGTAGGAGAGTCAGCACCTCTTGCAGGCAGAGGCTCCTTCAGACTCACCTCATGCACAGGTAGATAATAAATAGAGATGCCCAGCACATGTGAGAGCTACAGCACAGACTGAGATACTGTGACAGTACCAAGTAACCAGGGGACACCTGGGCATGGAGCAGCTCACACACAAACACGTCACTGGCACAACCACTGCCTGCTTTGTCTTCTCAGGGAAGTCACAAAAAGCATCCCAGACCATTCTCCTGCTCCCAACTTTACCCTGCAACTCTTTGCCAGCACTCAGAATGTGCTTCCATCCTTCCAAGGAGATAAGGGGTTAAAGCTAGACTCGACTAAACCTGTTGCCCTGGGAAACCACTGAGGGGCCATGCAGTGCCTGGAGGGAAGGTTTCTGAAGGATGCATCTGCTGGGAATAGGAGAGGCTGAGACTTGTCTGCCTGGAACAGCACCACTGGAGCAGAGGGCAAGGTACAAGTGCCTAAATGGTGACAGTCACAGCAAGGCTGTGCCCTCTTGCTATAAATCCCTGCTGCTGAAGGCACAGAAAGTCATTCACAACCTTCCAGTACCTGAACGGTACAAAAAGATGCAGAGAGACCATTTACAAGAGCCTGGAGGAATGGTCACACTGACAGAAGGCAGGGTCAGATTAGACATTAGGAAGAAATTCTTCCCTGGGAGGGTGGGCAGGCCCTGGCACAGGGTGCCCAGAGAAGCTGTGGCTGCCCCTGGATCCCTGGAAGTGTCCAAGGCCAGGCTGGACAGGGCTTGGAGCAACCTGGGACAGTGGGAGGTGTCCCTGCCCATGCAAGGGGGTGAAGGAGATGAGCTTTGAGGTCCCTTCCAACCCAAACCAGTCTGGGATCCTAGGACCTGCCACAGAGCAAAGAGGTCAGGTGAGAAAAGACTGCACAGATGGTAGCTGGCCTGAGGAACAAGCAAAGACTACCTTGGTGCATATTTTGAGAGGCAGAGACATCTCATGTGCCACCTTAAGGTGCAGGAATGGTGGGATGCAACATCAGCGAAGCAACAAGATAAAAATCACACATTTTGCATTCCTCTTTCTTTGAAGGGGAAGTGGCAGACAAGGAGGTGGTTCAGGTGCTTCAAGAGCTCGTCTGTCTCCACTTGCACTTGAATTTTACTGTGCCCATTTAGCCGAGCCCTACAGACAGTGTCCATGTGGGGTGGTCACAGATGCATGCACAAATTCGGGAATCAGTGACTTTGCTGGGTGTGCCTTTGGGTCATGCACAGAGGTGCATCACAGAGCCTTCAGAATCACAGGTACAGAGGAAAGAGACTGACCACCTTTGAGAACAACCAGCTGATCCAACGTTTTGAGGCAAAAGGCAAAGCAGGCTGACCAAGGGAGCTGAGGCCACCTGGTCTGACATCACCCCTGGAGAAAACAATGGAAAGGCTGGAGCTTTTTATTGTCTGTTAAAGAATTAAAAGATAAAAATATAATTAACAGCAGCCATGGCAGTTTTATAGAACTAGGTTGAGCCAAACCCAATTTCATCCTTTGAGGAGATTCAAGTCTGACCAATACAGCAGACATGCAGGATAAATTTTAAGTATCCTTTGACTGAGTGCTGTGACATCTGCATTTACCCAGTGTTTGAGCAGGCAATAAATGAGAGCAGAATTAGTGACACCTCTGTCAGCACTGACCTACAGGGGAGAGCATCACCAAACACAGGGATTCTCCTATTTGGGGTTTCTGCAAGGATCTGTCCAGTTTAACACCATCCAGGGCTGCAGAGCAGGCAGTCCCAGCCCCTCACCACCTCCACCACAGGATGAACAGATCCAAGGACCAAGGTCAGCCCCCCTGTGCTGGAGAGGGAAGAAAAGGGATTTCCTTTCTCTCACTCCCTGCAACTCACCTGTCTCCCCTCAGCCCCCATCATCCCCCTCTCTCAGGCCCTTATCCAAAACACTCAGGGGTATGACAATTCTCCATGGTACTCCTGATGCTTCAGACACATTCCCAAACCACCACAGCTGCTGATTCCTTCAATGCTTTTGTTCTATGATGCTATCCAAAGCCCAGAAGCTGAAGCAGAGAAGCTGTCCCAGGATGCAATAACAGGCATTGTCTCCTGAGCTGGTCTTCCTCCTGCAGCTGGAAGTGCTTTCAGTAGAAGAGAAAACAGCCAGTACCAGCACACCAGGTACTGCAGCTCCAAAATAAAGCTTCCAATACAAAGCCAAATGTGGGACACAAGAAAAACAGAAGGAAGTCTTTCTCTGTTAGTGGTTAACAGCAAAATTCCTGCTACCCTGCTCTGAGGTTCACACTCTCCTCCTGCCAGAAATCAAACACTCACAAGTGACATTGAAGACTCAGAACTCCAACATCAGTATCAGTTTATTGTTTATCCTGTAAAAATTTAGGATCTGGCAAAGCTCAGAATTTTGTCTGGTCAGAGCTGGGCAGTAAGGCCAGAGTGGACATTTCCCTATAATCCTCCATGGCACCTCCCCTGGGAGGACAAGCTGAGAGAGTTGTTGCTGCTCAGCCTGGAGAAGACAGGGTTCCAAGGGAAACTTAGAGACCTTCCAGTGCCTAAAGGGGCTCCAGGAGAGCTGGAGAGAGATTTTGGACAGGGGCCTGGACTAACAGGACAAGGGACAATGACTTCACACTGGCAGAGGGTAGGGTTAGATGGGATATTGGGAAGAAACTCTTCCCTGGGAGAATGAGGAGGCACAGGGTGCCCAGAGAAGCTGTGGCTGCCCCTGGATCCCTGGAAGTGTCCAAGGCCAGGCTGGAGAGGGCTTGGAGCAACCTGGGATAGTGGAAGGTGTCCCTGCCCGTGGCAGTGGGTGGAATGAGATGGGCTTTTAGGTCCCTTCCAACTCAAACCAGCCTGAGATTCTAGGAAAAACAAAAATCTTGTGGGGCTGTTACCATCAGAACATACACTTAGAACTTTACACCTGGACACTTGGCTCAGCATCACTATATTTGGTGGAGGATGTGGTAAATTGACCAGTTCTGGAAAGAATGTGCAAACCTCAACCACTGGCTGTGAATAAGCCAGGCTGGAGAGGGCACAAAGTGTCCTTTACGTGCACAGAGACAGGGAGACAAAGCCTCTGGGCCAGAAGAGTAGAAAAGCACAAGACACAATGTACCCTTGGGGACTGCCAATTAAAAACTCATTTTGGGTCCACATCAGTGCAAAATTCAATAGAGTCATGTTGGCAGTGTTGTCGTCAGCACTGACACAGCAGCAGCACAAGAGCCTGTGTGAGCTCATGAGGCAGAAAAAGAACTGCTAGTACCAGGAATTAGATGGATGAAAACCTAGATACTGTCAAGGTACATGGACACTACATTCCAAATAGTCCAGAGCTGCAGCTCTGTTTGGGGAAATGGGACGTGCAACCACAGAAAGCAGAATGACAGAACTATATGTACAAAACCACACCAACTGCTCCATTCACAGCCAGGCCTCTCTCAGGGAAAAAGCCACTTCCCACTTGGCTTATGCTCCTTCTCTTTTTTCCTAGAGAAGTACTTCACCCTTATGCTGAAAAACCAAAGAGCTTTCAGAGCAGTTTACCAATGGTCACTTATTTATAAGTTCAATCAGCTTTGAAACCACAGGTTTTGCTCATTTAAAAAAACAAAACAAAACAAAACAACCCACGTCTGTTTTCACATAAAAACAAATGGAAGGATTTTGGTTATGACTCAAAGTGCTCACGTTACACCACAGTCTCAGAGCCACCTTGGCTGGGAGCTGCAGCTGGAGCCCTGCCAGTGCTCCAGCCCTGAGATGCACAATCCAGAGCAACTCCAGCCAGGATGGTTGGGAAATGCTCTGCCTGGACATCTGCCCAGTGCTCAGACCCAAACAAAGCATTGAATGCTGGGCCCTGTACCTCAGCCATCTGTTGGAAAGGGGACAGCTGCAGGTCTGAGTGGGAGCCAGTGCTTTAATCCAGCTCTGCTGGTTCAGATCTCAGTGTGGAGCAGTGAAAGGTAACATCTCCATGACTGTCCTTCCCCCAAGAAGGGGACAAAAGCCATCTAAACAAATGCATAACACTAGGACCAAACTTTATCTTGGCAGCAGGAGAAACCTGAGGAAGTTTCACTCAAGACCCATCAGTCTGCCTGGTCCGTGACTCGCACCAGAATCAGCTCCTTTCTGGCTTCTTCTTGCACAGGAATGCAGGAAGGAATTTGTCTGTAAAGTTTATTGACCTGACTAATATCTTCCGCTCGTGCTAATGATTTCATGGCTTTGTTTACCACTCCAGACTGTCCTGCAGAAACAGACACATCACTGGTCCTGTTTGGAAACACAGATTGTTTGGATAAGGAGCACATAAACCACTTGAAAGCTCAGAACACAGAAACGTCTGGATGTATCTAGCAACAAGGATCTGGATATCAGCCATTCTCCAAAACCTTACCAATACAGTTTGGCTCTGGCTGACAGATCACTGGGTTGAGTAAAATGAAAGATTCAGGTAATGGCAGTACCTCACAAGTCGGAGAGAGTCTTTACGGATGTTCACCAAACTCCTCAGAGTCTTCACTGGCTCGTGTGGAGCTGGAGTTATATAGGGAAACTGGAACAAAGAGGCAAATAATTCTTCTGTTATTACACTATAAAAGGTAGCAGCACATAGCATGAAGTTTACCCGAATCAAGAAGCATGTAGCTTTCAGGGTACTCAGTATAGCAGCCATAAGCAAATAGAAAATTCTATTTACAGATAAATCAAGTATGCTTCAGGGTGAAAATCCTGCCCTGGCCCAGCAACAGTTCATACTGCAAATAAATACACACTAAGAAAGGGCATTTTCACAAGGTCTTTCCACCCTGAATTCTCAGTCAGGAAAGCCTTGCTCTCCCAAGCTTTTATTTCCACTAAAGAAACCACCTCCAGCTTGAGCAGAAGAAATGCAGCCCTTTCATGTGTATTACAGCATGCAAGCAGTGATCTGACTGCTAATCGGCATGCTGAAACCCTGGATTACTGGGGGAAAGTCTTTTTATTCTGAAACAATGGGGCAAATGTTCTGGAAAAGAAAAGAGACAGGGATAGGGGGCCTCATTCTATTCTACAGTCAAGAAACCTTCTCTCACAGATTGTCCTTTAAATAGGGACAATAATGGTTCAGACTGCAATTCTCCTTAGTGGGCACAGGATCTCCAGTGAGAAATGCAAAGGAAACTGCTTATTGTGGTGATCACAACCTGCAGACCTGCCTGCTGGGCACCAGGGACCACCAACACACGTTTCCTTAGAAATGAGGAAAGGCCTCAGTTACTCCAAAGCAAGAACTGGGCCCATGTCCAGAAAACAGGGTTGCTGCTCTGTATTTGAGTGTTTTGTTGGTTTTTTTTCCTTGAAGATTAATCAGAGCTGCCAAAGGGCTTTAACTTTACATAGGCACACTATATTCCACAACAGCCTCCTTCTCCTAAACCTACTTGGCAAACGTCCCACGGTGTGAATGGCCTCTCACCCACTGCCTCTAGAGAAATGATGAAACCCAGTGCTGGGATGTCAGCAAGGAAACCCAGGCTGAGACATGCAGGTAATTTAACTCTGCCAGGTCAGCCCCTACAGGGAGGGCCCAGTGTGCAGACATGGCACAGGGGATGTGGTGAGCACCCCCAGGCCTGCCCAGCACTGATACAACCACAGATTTCCAGCTCAAGTCCCTCCTTCCTAATTGTTTTGCCCAACTACACTTCCTGCTTAAACAAAGACTTTCCGGATTCCTCCTTGTCCATCCTGTGAACTATGGTTCTGAAATGACCAATGGCACAGTCTGAGGAGAAACTCAGAAAGCAGAATGTGCTTGTAACTGTTCCAACTCCAACTTGCCTCAGTTTCCCCCACCTGTAAAACCAGGATGATCCCAAACTGCCACCAAGCATTACAAACATGAATTAATTAATGGTCACAGCTTTTCTGATGAGGAGAACCATGACTTCTAGTTCTCATTTTCATGTTTGGAAGCTGCAAAAACAGCTAGGAAAACAGTGAACAAAGCAAGCAACTCTTCCCTTTCATCTCCAGCACCCAGAAAACATCTCCAAATGGGTCCTATTCTGTTACCTTTCGGTTCTTTTCAAGCAGTTCTGAGATGCAAGAGAAATCCAAAACATAACACTTGCATAAAATTCCTATCTTTCCCTCACAACAGCATTATTCCCTTTTCAAGAACAAGCCAATCACTTGAGCTTTTCACAGTCTCACAGACACTTGGGGGTCCAAAACTACATTTATGTTCCAGTTAAGAAAAGAGAAGGAGAGACTTTCTGAGCAGCCCACCTAGGTATAAAACCCACAAAATGTCAAGGTCTGTCTTAATCACTGCCCTACCCTTAGCCAAGCCACTCATACACAGACAACAGCAGGTGTTGAATGCTGGCTGGAAACCACCCAACATGCCCAAGAGCCTTGGGAGGTTCAGGCTCTGCTTCCCAGCCTTCTCTGCAGCCTGTTTTACACCTGCTCAGGCAGGCAGGCAGAATTAGTCCCAAATTCTGTGCTCCTGAGTCCCCGTTCTTCCCCCACCACTAATTCCTTCTGTCCTGAGTGAAAATAAACCTCCCATGTGAATTCAGCTTCTCAGGAAAACTCAGTTTGCATCTGAACAGACAGGGATGACCTTCTCCAAGCAGTGAGGACCTTTTAGGTCTGTGCCACTCTCCTCTACAAACCCTACATCAGATTTTCCAAAACAAGCAGGAAACAAAAAAAGAGTAAAACAGACAGAACATAGGAACTTGCCTGAACTGGTCTATTCCCGAGGAAGTTTAAGTCCATGTTCTCACCAAAAAGGTAACCCTCGGGGTGAGGGGTGTCAAACTTCTCGCCTCCCATAAAGAAGTGACTCGCAAAGTAGTTTCCTAGAAACAAAAAACACAAGAGAATGAAAGAAAAAAAACTCTAAATGAGTGTTTCCTCAAGAAGTCTGTGCAGTTTTAAATTCACAAGCATAAAAGAGCCACAAGACACAGAAAATACTTGCTTATTCACTCCTTCCCTGTAGTACTGAGGGCCACTGCCAACAGTAGGAGAAGAGAGAAAACAAACAAACAAAACAAAAATCTAGAATAAATATTACAGTGATGATAATTCCATTTCAATTTTTTTTCCAGAGAAGGGACAGGGAACAGGAAAAGTCAGCTTTTTCCAATACTGCTCCATTCTGGTCAATTCTTCCTGTTTTATCCAGTTCCCAAAGTGAAGCCCAGTCCCACAAACACCATGGGCCTGCTCAGAGAAGGATGAGGCTTCCTCCCACTGCAAAATTCAGCACAGCCACAGGGTCAAAGTTTGCCTTTCATCCCTTCTTTCACTCCCATATCCCAGTCGAGAACCACTCCAAACCTTTATTAGGAGTGCTGGAGACTTTACACTCTGATGCTGATTTAATTAATAATGCTGACAGTTATAAATGCAGAAACTCTGAAAGTTTCACCATTAATTTGTTTTGTTCATCTTTAAGGTGATGCACTACAGTGCAAATTTCAGGACACAAAACATATGCAAGGTCACTGGGACTCTGGAGCATGGAATTGACTGTAAAATGAACTGAATTAATTCAGATGTGTGAGAGCACCACAAACGCAGCTCCCTCCTAGAAAGACTTCAGGAAAACACTCTCAAATGTGAACTTCACAGAGTTACAGTTTCAGAGAAATAAGTATCAGGAGAAAAGTAAAATAAAAGGTTCCATCCAAGCCACTTCCCTTCAAGCTTCAGAGTGGGGATGAGAGGACTGAGCCAAACATACATTTTCTTCTCTGGGAGCAATGCATAGACAGCATAAATTTGTGTTAAAATGAGTCATTCCAGAAGCAGTAACTAATCATCTGAATGGCTATGGAGGCATTCTGGAGGGATCTGCAGTCCCTCTAGCTAGGAGCAAGCAAGATTTACTCTGATATTGAAGGGTTCTCATGAATGGCCCTGTTTTTTCCATTAAGGCTTTTTCCCTTTAAGCTTCAAGAAAGGCTCTTTTCACTCTGCACAGATGGCAGTGCCTTAATGATGACGGTAGGGCTCAGCTATTGCTGAGCTCAGCTTACAAGCACCCAGATGTTTGTAGTACTGAAACACGTTCTTCTTTCCAGATACAACAATCACCTTCAGCACAGGTCCAGCATCTACTTAGAATCTGTCTTACAGAATCAGAATAACAAAACCACAGAATCGTTTAGGTTGGAAAATCCCTCCAAGATCATCAAGTCCAACCTGTGACCTATCATCATCACCTTGTCAACCAGATCAGAGGACTGAGTGCCACATCCAGCCATTTCCTGGACACAAATGCAGGTGCCCCAAATGACAGGGAACCTCTTCCCAGAAGCAACAAATTAAAAAACTGATCTGTATATAATCTCCAAGCACAGCCAGCCTGACACTGCCTCTCCACCAGAGATACATCACAGTGGTTTGTATTTGCACTGAGCTTCAGAAAACCATGATGAATGCTGGACTCTAAGAATTGATTTCACATTTTATGTGGATCAAGTAGGTTATGTTTTGGAACATTTTATTTGATCCACTGTGAACACAATACTTGTGCAGGATGTCTCAGTACCACAGCAATTGGTTATCTGGGATAAGAGTCTGAGAACTCCCTCTTATCCAGTGAGTGAGACAGAATCACAGAATCACAGAATTGCCTGGGCTGGGAGGGACCTTAAAGATCCCATAGTTCCAGCTCCCTGCCATGGACACCTTCCAGCACACCAGGTTGCTCCAAGCTCTGTCCAGCCTGGCCTTGGACACTTCCAGGGACAGAGCAGCCACAGCTTCTCTGGCAACCTGTGCCAGGTTCTCTTCACCCTTGCAGGGAAGAATTTCTTCCTAATATCCAATCTAACCCTACTCCCTGCCAGTTTGAAGCCATTCCCCTTGTCCTGTCACTCCAGAGCCTTGTAAATAATCTCGCCCCATCTTTCCTCTGAGCTCCCTCCAGATACTGGAAGGCCACAATGAGGTCACCCCAAAGCTTCTCTTTTCCAGGTGAACAATCCCAATTCTCTCAGCCTTTCCTCCCAGCAGAGCTGCTCCATCTCTCTGGCTCTCTCCAGCAGCTCCACATCCTTCCAGTGCTGGGCCCCAGGGCTGGAGGCAGCTCTGCAGGTGGGGGTCTCACCTGAGCAGGCAGAGGGGCAGAATCCCTCTCTCTCCTGCTGCCCACACTGCAGGATCAGCACAGGACATGCCTGAGAGCATCTCCAGAGATGAAAAGGTCTCTCTGGCTCAATTGGAACAACACCCAGACACAAAACCAGCACGTTCGAGGCACCTGCCACACTGTCACTCCTCCACTGAGAATCACTTTTGGCATCTCTACCAAATTGTTGGGATTTCTCACAAGTACACACAGTAGCTGGAATCATAGCTTCATTTCCACATTCAGAATGAACTCTTTTCATCTTCCTGCTAAGTCACCTCCTGCAATGTGAAGGAGAGGGTTGTTTCCCCCCGAGGCACTTCCCTCACAAGCAAACAAGAAACACAGTGCCAGGCACGAGGAGCACAGGTAAACTCACTCTGAGGTGCTCAGAGGGGAACACACTGGTGAGTTCAGAACAACCCTCGAGACTCTGCCACTGCTGCTGCACACACAAAAGCTGCCACACACACGAGGTCTCAACATACGAACAAACCAGAATGGCAGCAAACTGTCTCCACAGATTTATAACACAGTTTTCAGCAGCTAAAAAAAGATATTTTGTTGCAAGCTTTCAGAAACCACTTGCTACAATGACATCTGAAGTTCAGAGCTCTCAAGGTAAGATCAAAGTTAAGCATTAATCCTCTCAATCACTACTATCACAACCACCTCGGTGTTTGCCCAAGTTGGAGGCAGAACATTACAAGAAAGCATTTCTTAAATATCACACCAGGGACTAAAACGAAAAGGAAACTTCCAGATGGAAAATATGAGGCATCCTCTTTTGCAGTCACTGTGACATTTAGGATTTTTAGTGTCTCTACCAGGCGTGCGTATATTTTCTATATAGGTTCCATTTCCAAATCCATTACAAAGACAGCTTTAGAACCTTAGCCAGGTTATCATGCCTCTGGAACCTTGATCCCAAATGTCTCCCTAGCCTATAAAACCACCTTAAGCAGGTGCTCCAAGGCCAGCTTTACACAGAGCTCTGTAGCTATGGGCACAAGGAGGATGCTAAGTGCCATCCTCTTTGGCAGGAAAAAGGAAAAGCAAAAAATTCTTGGGTTAATCCTCCACAGAACTGCTACAAACAGAAACCCTCCAGGAAAATGCAGACACGCTGACCAGGAAAGAATTACACATAAATAAAAAAGGATGGGATAGCATAAAAATGCCAGAGCAAAGAAAAACTGTGGCTTTACTCCCCCAGAGTAAGTCAGCATAAAGCATAGAGGAACATGAGATAAAAGAGAACATGACCAAGTGACACTGCTGAGGGAGATGAAGCCCAAGTAGTGGTTGTAAGAGAACTTCTTGGTGGAAAACTTTATAGTTTTTAGGCTGGAAAAACTGGAACCACTGGGACACCCAGAACAGCCAAGTCTGACTCATTCGTTTGTCCCATGCAAAACCAAACTGGAACCCAAGGCTCCTCCAAGGTATCAAATGACACCAAATACTTTATATTTAGTACAACATAGTGATGGGGGTTTATTATCATAATTGCACCAGCATTAAGCACCAGACTGCTCCAGTCATAATTACCTCTCCCTAAACCAGCATCCTAATCCCATATCCACACAACACACGGATGTGATGCACCAGAGACACGCTGGGAAGGGACACAACCTACAAGAGGCAGGGGCACAACTGTAATCCCATCAGAACATGGGCTGTGTTGTACAACATTCATTAACAGAAAGCAATTAGGTGTCTATTTAGGTTTCTCACCATTAATACAATTAACAGTGAAGTGATGGAAATTGAGCTCTCTTTAATTACTCAGCCAGACAGTCACCACTTCGGCAGACTGACAGCACAGTCCCAGCAGCAGTGTGTGAAACCCAGGGACAGTGACACTGCCACGGTACACAGCCACACAGAGATGGACTGGGTGCGACTCTGGAGACGACTCTTCTATTTAAAACCGCTCTTTCTTTGATTAAAGCCTCATTCCCAAACAACAAAGCAGCTCAGCTTCAGAGAGGAGCAATCCATTTCCTTTTTTTCCTCCCAGAAATCTCCGAGGAATTCTCTTCCAAGAGCCTACTCCAGAGGAGAAGAGCCATCCCAAGGGCACGTGCTCCGTGCTGCAGAGGAGCTCATGGAATGGGAACGGAGCTGTGGGAAGCACTGGGGCACTGCTCACTGGTTCTGAGAGATCCTTTCACTGCACCAAGCACTACAGAGAACACAACTGTTCCCCATTTTTAGCCAGAGCACTTACTCTTCTGTACAAACTGGGCCTTCCTCTCAGCCATTCAGGCAGGCACAATGCCAGCACGGGCTCCATAAAGCAAGAAATTTTGGTTAAAAGATACCAGCAAAGAGGTTTCAGAGAAAGGAATTGGGCATCACCTTACAGCAGCCTCAGTCATCCAGATGCAGGAGGAAAAACGCAGATGATACCCATCCAGAGCCTTGGAGGAATAAGCAGGGCATTTTCAGATGATTTCTGACTACAAAACTGTAAACAATTTCCAACAAAGCTGTTAAACAACCTGCTTCACTGGGGACTGGCTCATGCAGACCAAGGTGGATTCCACAGCAATCTGCTCCATCCTCCCCAGAGCATGAGCAACAACCACATCAAAAGCCAATAAAGGAGAAGTGAATATTCACCTCTGCCTTTGCAACCAGCTGTGACTCAACACGGCACAGTCACCGTGTCCCTCTCCATGCAGGTTGACATGCTGCTGAAATCACAGCCAGAATACCTGTATTTAGGGTTTATTTCCTTGCACAGTGTGTCCTTGTGAGGGGGTATTTGCTCCCTCATCAAACACAAACCCCCATCCTCCATACTGATGCCAACCACGGGCAGCAGTTGAGCAGACATTTGTAGTAAGTCAAGATCTGTTGAAACCAGAGACAAGGAGGGATAGAATGGAAAAGGAGAAGGACAGCCCTCAGTGCTGCACACAGGATGGGTGACCTCAGGTAATGCTCCCTCACCACCTGTTCCAGCCTCTCAGGGGTTACCTCAGAGCCAGGAATGTGTGTCAAGCTCACTCTCCAGCACACACACTCAAACACCCAACACAGCCCATGGAAAACTGGCCTCTTCCAGTCAGGGCTCGCAGCAGCAGTGTTGAGTTAACAATAATTAACAATCATTTGGCCCAAGAACATTCTGTACTACTTCCAGCTTGCTTCCTGAAATCAAAACTGTATTCACTCACTTCTAGTCATTCTCACTGTCAGGTTTGGTACTAACCTTTCCATCCCCAAGATTATCACTCTGAAGAAGGCAGGACCTCAAAGGACACTGTCCCTCTGAGCACACTCCAGCTGAAGGAGGGAAGGGAGCTGCCATCCTAACAGCCCTCACTGTTCTGGGCTTTGAACCTCCACCTCAGAAGTGTTCACCAACTCTTCTGCCTATAGCGTGAACAGCTCTTCTCTCTCCCCAAAGTCAAGGGGATCCTGGTTAGATGAACCCAAAGAATGTGAAGAGAAAACCCTGGCTTAACACCAGCTTTCAGAAAGAAATGCCACAGAGAATTAATTAACAAGCCTCTAATTGCATCCAGAGTCTTTGTAGGAAATACAAATATTTTTATTTAACCAGCTGCTTGAAAGCATTGGCTGTTCAGTTCTACAAGGGAGGTATCACACATGGAACACTCTTTGGTAGCATTATGGTCCATAGATCCCCTTCCAGGGAGCATGGTAACACACAAACCCAACCTTAAGTGTGTGATGAGGTTACCTTGACAAGCCCAAAACCCAACACACTATTATACACTATTAACTTCCAGTTCAACAGCACAGGAACAGGATGATGACGTGAAAGAAGTTTAATGCCCATTGCATATGGTGGTTATAATTAATCCACTCCTTATCTAAAATATTGTCACATGCAGATCCTGCTGCAGACAAGCTGTGACACTTGCCTTTCTCAGTTGCCCAAAAAACTAGCTCCCAATCACCTAAAAAAAGCAGGTTATATTCTCTAAGAGAGCCAACACAGGTGGGTTTCTCCCACTTCCTCCACACCACCATTCCTGCTGAATGCCAATCTGCAACAAGACAAGGTGTAATGATGACAGCACTTTATCTGAGATGATTCTGTCCCCACTCCAAACTAAACAGGGGTCCTGGCCCCGTCCATCACACAGCCCCGAGGATGTCACAGCCAGCAGGTCATGGATATACACAGGACTGGAATCTCTGAAAGAAAAGTCTTTGTATCTGAGAGTGAGGGGACCTGAACTGCTGCTCTGCAAATTCTTCAGCCTGCCTGGAAAAGCCCTGACAGAACCGAAAACCAGAAAAAATTGTAAGCAAATGGATATTGCAGGGGAAAAGATCACCTGAATTTCCCTGACCTCTTGTTTTTGGGAAGAATATGTAAAACTCTTTAAACAAGTTAAACCTGGTCAATCTCAAAAGCTGGCCCAAGACAAGGTGAGTCATGGGCTCAACTCAACTGCACACAAGTGGCACCGACAACTCTCCAAGCCTTCAGAACAATTCCCTGTGGAAAACAGACACCCAGTAGGCTGTGTCAGCCCAACAGCTCCTAGGTGAGAGCCATTGCCATTTTAAGGAGTTAAAGAGGGTTGTCATGCGGGAATTTGGCCATCCTATATTCAACCAGACGCAATTCTCTTCCGTGTCCCCACCTGCGGTCGCTTCCCCTTCACAAGCAGCAGCCGTCGCACTCGCCAGCCACCAAAAACTTCGTGAGGCCACATTTCCATGGTGGGGAGTGGTCCTTGTGCACCCTCAGTGATCCCCGGGACCACGTGCGGCGACGGCGCCAGGCCGGCACGGACAGCGGGACAGCTGAGCCCCGGACCCAGGGCACGGAGACGCCTCACGCCTGAGCCCCCGGGCAGACCCGGCCCGGTGCCAGCGCTGTGCCCGCGGACACCCATCCACGGCCTCTCTGCTAGCGCAGGCGGGCTGGGCCGCGGGCAGAGCCGGAGCCGGAGTCAGCCCAGGTCGGTGACAGGCACTCCCGCAGCCCCTTCCACGGCCTCCCCGCTCAGCCCGGGGGGCATCGGGCCCGGCACGGCCCGTCCCCCTCCCCGGTCCCCGCGGCCCTCACCGGACTTGGGCGGGTAGCGGTAGGCCGAATTGGCCTGGATGTCGATGTCCTCCACGCCCGCGATGCGCCTGCTGAGCAGGGAGCCCATGGCGGCCGCAGACAGGGCGGGCGGCCCGGGGGCGCAGAGCGGCGGCGGCGGCACCGGCACCGGGACCCGCACCCACGACGGCGGCGCGAGGCACGCCGGGACACCGAGTCCTCCCACCAAGGGACTACAGCTCCCGGCAGCCACCGCGGCGGCGCCTACCAACGGCGGCGCGGGGAGGTGGCGGTGGCGGCACCTACCAATGGCGGCGGTGGCGTCCCACGGCCTCCCCCAGGGAGCGGCGTGAGCTCTGCCGGCAGGAGGCGCTGCGACGGGAATGGGAATGGGATTAGAATTAGAAATGGGAACGGGATTGGAAATGGGGACGGGGATGAGAATGGGAATAGGATTGGGAATGGGGATGAGGATAGGAACAAGGATGGGAATAGGAGTGGGCCCAGGGATGGGCATGGGGCACTCTGCATGGGAAGGACCCAGGCATGGACATGGAGATCACCAGGGGGCACACCTTAGATGGAGAAGCCCTTGGAAACTCACCCAGGGATGCACAGGGAGGATACTCGAGGACACATCCTGTACAGGGAAGCAAAGAGAGGCTGGAAGCCCAGGGACACACATTGCACAGAGATGCACAGGGAGAATGCCCAAGTTCAGGCTCTGCACAGGGATGTGCAGTAGGGATTCCCAGGGACACATCTGGCACGGAGGAGATACCCAGGGACACAGAGCCTGCACAGGGATGCCCAGGGCTGTCCAGGGACATATCATACACCAGAATGCCCAGGGAGAATTATCCAGGGCAGTTCCCAAAGGTTGGACCTGCTACTGGCTGAGGCTCAAAGCCAGTCGGAAAGGAGGTGATCCTCCCATGCGGAAGCCTCTCCTTTCTGGGTTCCTCCCCTCACAGATAATCCACACACAAAAGAAAATGGCTGAGGTTTGGATGTGAGGACAGAGCAATGGCCACGGGCGGCATGGGGGAAGAGGCACGAAAAAGCCACTAATGTCCCAAGACTGAGCCCTGTCCCCTCTGGCACCGAGGAACAGGGAAAAGCCACTCCCTGTGATGGGAAGTACCTTCCTGTTCATATGCTTCAAAGGAACTGATGACTCAAATTCCCACCAGTGGAGTTAGGAATCACTGGGAGACATGAAGAAGCTGAGGTGGCACATGTGAAATCCCTTAAATTTGCCTTGGGAGCAAGGAAGAGGGCTAGGATTCAGGGAACTGGGATGGAGCAGGGAGCAGAGCCTGCCAGCACGGGAGGATTTTGTGACAGCAAGAGAGCAGGCAGTGGGTGGAATTTGCTAACTGTAAACACAAACTAAAACACGCCCAGCGGGAATAAGCAAACAGTCCTGAGGCAAAACGTGCTTCCGGACAGTTGTTATCCTTGCAGCTGTTGTGGCCACACAAACACAGCCAGAGGGGCTGTAAGAGGCACGGGATGCAGGGGAACTCGTGCTGGGGGTGAGAGCAGAGCAGGAGCGGACCTTGCTCTTCTGCATCCCATTGTGCAGCAGGGCTGCGAAGGAGGACAGGGAAAAATATGGAATGAGCAACAAGTTCTGCTGGCCAACCACAAGAGTTGGGCACCCTGCACCTGGCATTTGGGAGCTTCAGGCTCTGTCTGGCAGTGCCTTGGCAGTAACTATGCCTGGGAACTCTGCCGTGTCCCCCAGGATCCTCCTGGAACCCGGAGTGACAGTGCCTCTTGCTCAAGCAGCCTCTCCATTCAAGGGTTTCTCAAAGCAGAAATTGCACGGACAGGGATGGAGGGAGCCTGCTGACCATCACAGTGACACGTGTGCTGGCCCAGAGCGTGTCCAGTGCTCTCTGCCATAGGAACAAGCTGTGGGCAGTGTCCTGGCAGCAGCAGGGTGATGTGAACAGCTCGTGTGCCACCAGCGGCCCCAAAATGAGCAAGGTAAATCTACAACCTTCAAGGCCCTCACTCTGCAGGCCAGCAGCTGATTTGGGGCTCAGTGCTGGAGCAGACTGGGCACAGCAAGGATCAGTGGGTCCATCTCCCTGTGCCATCCTGAGAACTGGTGGCCAGCTGGCCACAGCCTGGGGGCAGGGCAGAGCAGAGCAGTGTTTGCACCCTAAGGCAGGCGAAGAGGGCAATTTGCATAAGGACAGAAGATGAGAGTCCCTCTCCACCCACAACCTGAGCATCGAGAGCATCCTGCCCTTCTCCAGTTCAAAGAGGCACCCAGAGGCAACCACCCCAAAGCTGTTCCCTGAGCTTTTTTTGGGACAGAATAATGGAATCCTAGAATAGTTTGGGTTGAAAGGGACCTTAAAGATCATCTCACTCCAAACCCATATTCCCTGGAGCTCGGTGCCATGTGGGTTAAGCAGGGCACAGCCAGCTCCCAGAGGCACGGGGTGCTGGCTCTGCCCAGGAAGCTGCAGCAGGAGGTCTTTTGTTCGTGCAAAACCTCCACCAGCGGGAAGGTCCCTCCCGGGCCGCCCGGCTCTCCGGAGTGCTCAGAGGAAGCCATCAGGTCCCATGGGGGTTGTTGCCATCTGGGAGGGCAGGGGCTTTGGCTGGAGAAGCTGTCCCGGAGGGCCCTGCTCCGTGAGATGTGTGTGACAGACAGGCACAATAGCAGACGTGTGCTAGGGCAGGGCTCAGCCCTTCCACCCAAAATCCCAGGGCCTGGAGCAAGCAGAGCTGAAGGGCAGCAGCTCTTTGCCCCCGCCCAGCCCGCGGGACGCAGGCACTGGCACACACAAAGGCAGGATATTGCACCACTGCCTCCTCCATCCCATCAGGGGCCACTGCCAGCAGCATGGGGAAGGAGAGTGGATGGCTCAGGATAGGGAGCAGGACTGCCCTGCCAGCCCACCTCAGGGTCCCACAGCTCCTCAGGTGGGTCCCATGGGCTAGAGGAACAGCACTCCCCCCAGCACTGGGCACTGGGGCAGCTGCAAGGAACAGCAACAGCCCTACAAACCCTGGTGCTGCCACCTGAACGGGTTTTGCACCTTCACCTCTGGGTTCCCTGAGATGTATTTGTCCTCATTTTGGTGCTGCCAGCCCAAAGGTCTGCTTGCACCATGAGGGAGGAAAGCCATGAAGAAGGGATGTCCTCTGTGAGACAGGGATGAAAACATTTCCACGAGGCTCAAGGGAGCCTGAGACTCTGAGCGCCATCATGGTGGTGAGAGTGGTCAAACTGGGGAAGACCAGGGTGAAACTGGGCCAGGGCTCCTGCCACCAGGAGTCTGCAGAGCCCCAGAGGTGGTGAGGAGACCTCAGCTCCTGCACTGCCTTCCAGCTCAGCAAAACCCATCAGGAAAAGATGATCCTGGAGCTGTTTCTCTGGCACAACCTGGAGAAGAGCAGCAGGAAAGAAGAGGGATCCTTTGAAACCGCAGGAAGAAGAATCCACAGAGCTGCAGCCCAGAGGAGGCACACGGGCCAGAGGGACATCCACCCTCACACTGCCACGTTTCTCCAGCCACCCCCAGCTGCCCTTCAGGAGTCTCCTTGGACGTCTGCTGGGGAGGCAGCTACAAGCACACCCGTGTAAACAAGGATATATGTTTCCCTGCAAAACTCCCGGTCACCAGGGCAGCTCATCCAAAGTCCAGATGTTCAGGGGTTTATTACCCAGTGAGGCAAGTTGCTTTGTCTCTGTTGTTCCCACTCGCTGTGTTTGCCAGGTACCCGTAGAACAACAAGGTTCAGGAGCCCTGCAGACAACACATGTTGTTACAGCTCACCAGGAGTGGTGAGCTCATGAACTTTGCCTCCCTAAACACTGCCCTGCTCTAAAGGGTTTACAGCCCTTCCCGAAAGCCCTGCCGGGCCAGGCCCAACCATTCTCCCTCCAAGCTGCAAGGTTTCTACACATACCTAGCTCTTTCTGATTAAAATAATCATTCAGGAGATAGGTTTTTCCAGCTGTATTTACACCTTGGTGGCTCCCTTGGTGGCTTGGTGTGCTACTTCTCTCTGGGGGTTGTCTTGACCTTGTAAGAAATGAGTGGTTACCTCTTGATATGTTCCACTGTTACACACAACTGCACTCTCACTTGGGTTTAGGCAGTGAGATATATAGAACAAGAAGGAAAACCCCTTGGCTCTGAAATTCCCCAAGGCTTGGAAAGGCTGAATTGTTGCGTAACTCTGGAAGGGTTACTAAAAAACATGTGGAAATGGTGAGCAGCTTTGGACAATACCAAAACAATTCCTGTCCACGAAGCAGAGGCCGCAAACCCCAGAGATCAAGTGCATTACCTGCATGAGCTTCAGCCATTTAATCCTCACGGCTCAGAAACACCTGCAAAATGCCAGCCAGGGTCAGAGGCGTTAGCGAACAATCTACTCACAGCCAGGCTAAAACTCCTCCAAATTGCAGGAGACAGCCCAGAATCACCGCTCAGGAAAAGCGGAGGGGGCTGGAGCCGGCAGCTCCCTTCATCTTTTCCTTGGTGTTACTAGCCCCGGCCAGCAAACCGCGTGTCTATGCTTGCTTATCCTTAGCAACACCATTGTCCGCTGCCCCAGGCCCCGCAGCTTTCATCTACTGCGGCAATGCCGCGCTCTCAAAGGAGCCTTTCACGGCCGCGGGAGCCCCCCCGGCACCTTCCAGAACGTTCCCTCGCTGCCGCCTCTCCCTTCAGCTGCCTCAGTGATGCACGGACACGCTGTGCATGAGGGAAAAACGGGACCAAGAGGAGATGGGTAACCCACCCATGGTTTATTAGCGCTGATGGAGGGCGCGGGGGTCAAGGGGCTGCTAATCCACCGCCCCTCGGAGCTGTACGGCAGCTACGGGCCAAGGGGTCTCCACCAAACCGCCGTAGGCTGCAGGAGGGTAACGGCAGGGCCTGCGAGGGTTTCACGGCGCTGAAGGGCGCTGGCCGCGCTCCCCCCGGCTGGGCAGGGCCCGGCGCGGCCCCACCGCTCCCTCACGTCAACAGGAAACCGCACGCGGCCGACTGTAAACACCGCCCGCGCCCACGTGACCGCGCGGCCCCGCCCCGGCCCCGCCCCGCGCGCCGCCCGCCCCCGCCGCCCTCCCATTGGGGGCCGCGCCGTTGTTGACCATATACGGTCAGGTACTACCAAGCCGCGGGCGGCGGTTGGCCGGCCCCTCGCGTCACTCAACGCGCGCGGAGCGCTCCGCCAACAAAGCGGGGCCTGCTGGGAATCGTGGTCCGGACGGGGGCAGGGCGGCCGGATGGCGTGGTGATCTGGAACTACAAGTCCCAGCGGCGCCGCGCGGGCCGGGCCGCACTGCTCCGCCCCGGGCGGCCGTGGGCGGGGCTGGGCGGGCGCCGTGAGTCAGTGCCCGGTAAACATTGGCGTGAGCCGCCGGCCCCGCCGTGCTGGCGGCGCCCTGAGGGCGGCGGGGTCCGGGGCCGGGGCCATGGACGAGCTCAAGCACCAGGTGATGATCAACCAGTTCGTGCTGGCGGCCGGATGCGCCGCAGACCAGGCCAAGCAGCTGCTGCAGGCGGCCCACTGGCAGTTCGAGGTAAGGCCGCCGCCCCGGTACCGGCCCCGGGCGGGTTCCCGCGTGGGGGCATCGGGGGGGGTCGGGCAGCGTGGATCGGTGCCCGGCCCTGCGGACACGCCGCTGGCCACTCGCCCGCCCGCACTCTCGGCGGTGGCGGCGGGGCGCGGGCCGGGCCCCCGGGGGTGCTCGGGGGAGCGTGGGCGCCACGCGGGGCGGGGATCGGGAGGCCACGTTGCGCGGGGGGTGCGCGGAGAGGAGCTCGCAGCGTGCCGGGGCCCCACGCCGGACCGCGGCCGGGCCGGGGGCGCCGAATGCGCCGAATCCGCCGAAGCCTCCTCCTGTTCCCCCCCGCCCCCGCCCCAGCCCTCCCGCGTGGCCGTGGGCTGGAAAACCCCAGCGCAGCCTTTCCCACGGCCCTGCCCCGGGGAGTTTGAGTTCTTGGGCAGCCGTGGGAGAGGAGACTTTGTAGGTCAAAGCTTTTCTGGCTCCAGACGCGTTTTCCTCTCACTCGCGGGGGGCATACTTCGTGACATTGACAGGGGTTAACGCCGCGCGTGGGGCGGGGGGTGCCGGGGGTGATCCCCGGTGCATTTCAGGGTGCTCAGCTCGTCCGGAGATCCCCTGAAGTGCAGGGAGCAAAGAGGGGTGCGGTGGCTGTCGCCTGTAAATTGCCTTCTAAATAGGATTTTTCCTTCCCTTCTGCAGCTCCCTAGGCTGGAGCTGATGGATTTGACGCTAATGGCACCTCGGTAATTGAAGTGTCTGTGCTGTGCTGCGGGAGCAGATCTGAGTCAGGCCGGGGAGCAGGAGGCTCCGTTTGTAGCTCCTCCGTGGCTGGAGCACCTCTGCTCCTGCCCGGGGGCCGCGGGCACTCCCGGGGTTGTTCCGTAACGGAGCCGCGGCCCGATGGACCCAGCACGGACGCCTTCCATCGCCGTGCGGGCACAGCATTCCCAAATGCTCTATCACAGGCCGGGAGGCATCGCAAACCGAGCCATGCGTGGCCGGGGATCGCGGGGTGGGCTTGCAGGGATGTGCAGAAGAGCGGGCCGGCGATCCGCACCGCCGTGCCCGGTGAACGGGAGCACCGCTGGCGTGGAATGTGTTGCATGTGTAACGTGCTCCGACGTTTGTTTACTAACACAGCCTGACAGTGGCCCTCTGGGACAGGCGGGATCCTTTTCCACCACCTCCGCGCGTGTCGCAAAAGAAACGGGGAGGGATGACAGAAGTTTTAACGTGTCTTTCAAAAGGCTTTTTTTGCAGAACTTTGCCACCGTTTGGCGAGTTGCACAAGTACAAACAGCCGTCTCCTGCCGGCTGGGCATTCACATGACTCAGAGGAAGCTGGGCTGTAAACAAACGCTGCCGTTACCATGTTCACTCACTTTTGGTGCAACGGTCAGATAATTCCCTTTGCAAAATGGCCGCTGGGCACGGCTCCTTCTGGGAGCCACGCTGGGGAGGGCTCCCCTCCCGACCACTCCAGCCTGCTCTCACCTCCTTTCTGGGATACTCCCGAGGTTTTTTTTATTCCAGTGCAGCACCCGTTTGCTGGCTGGTCTGCTTCTGCAGTGAGTATAAACTGGGGGTGTTCAGGCAAGTTCAGTACAGAGAAGGCAGCATAAATTAACCATCTCCTTGGAGTCAAAGCACTGCTCCAGGGGATTCAATCAGCCTGCTTGTACCTGAGGATTCTGCTCCTGCCTGTAAGGCCACCACGGGGAGAGGTGCTTTTGCACAGGGGAGCCAGGCTAGCACAGTGGCCCAGTGGCACACAGCAGGAGCTGGGTTGTCCCATCTCTGTGCCTCTGTCCTGGTGAGGACACTCCTGGCATCCATGTGCCCTGCCCAGGACCTTTCCTCTGTGAGCAAGTGTCCCTCTTGCTGCCTGTGACTGCCCTTGGGGTGTTTGTCACCAGCAGGAGGGAGAGGAGGCTGCTGTGGAACACAAACAGCTTCGGGATGCTGGTGTTTTGGGACCACTTCCCTGGGCTTGGGTTGCTGTGAGGCTGGCTGCTCAGGGGCCATCGTGTGTAGGAAGATGAAGTGAAGGCTGCAGAGCGGGTTTGCTCTGTGTGTGTCTTGCCAGCCCTCATAGACCCAGAGTTTTTCTGGGGTAGAAGGAACGTGATCCAGCACAGTGAGCAGAGTGGGAGATCAGGAAAACATTTGGCTGTGGTGTGAACTGATCTGAGTCTGTCCCGTACTCAGGGGTTGATTAAGGAGAAATTTTTTTTCATCCCATCTATCCCTGGGGAACAGTGCAGTTCATGAGTAGAGTGTGGATCGCCTCTCCCACTCACTGTGACTCCACTCCTGTTTTCTAGGGACCCTGGACAGGCTTTTTCCTATTGTGCCCTGTTTAGTTTGCAGCTCTGTGGGCCCTTCCATGTTTCCAGGGATGGCTGCTGTGGGTGCCAGCAGAAATGGCACTGCCAGTCCAGCCCTCCAGCAGCTGGAGCAGTGCCATTGTTGCTCCCAGGGGGAGGTTTACAGGCCCAAGAAAGCAACCTGGAATGTCTCTGGGTGAAGGCTGGCACTCGGCCTCCAGGGCCTGGCTTTTTGGGAGAAGCCAGGGAGAGCAGCTCCTCCGTGGCTGGAACCCAGCAGGTTACCAGGCAGACATTTCAGAGTTTGCAGAGTCTCACATGGGGCTGGGCAGTGGATCAGGCTCCATCTCCGGTAGAAAGATATTTGGCTTTATGTGCTCATTGCCCTTGGGGCTGTTTGGGAAGGATAAGAAGAAACTGCTTCTAAAAAAACCCACCCATTCCTTCCTTTTCCTGGTGCTAAGAGCCTCCGTTCCAGTGTAGAGAGGCTGTGTGTGGGGAACAAGAGAAGGAGCAGGTGTCTGCCTTCACTCACTGTGTCCATGGCTGGATTTCACTTCCTCTTATGTATTTATGTTTCATGAAGCCCCTTCCTTGGTGGTTCAAGGACAGGGTGCCCCCAGGGCTGCTCCTGCTGCTGGGTGCCCTGTGCTGGCAGAGCTCACACCTCCAGACACCCTCTCTCTCTCTGAGTCACCACAGGTGCTTCTTGGCACCCTGGCAGAGTCTCTGTGTGATCTCTCTCCTGTGAAACTCCTGGTTTTGCATCCTGGGAGGGGACACAGTGGTCTGGTCACCTGCTGAGCATGGCCAGGCCAGGGGTGTGGGACTGCCCTGCTCCCACACATACCACGGTGACACAGGAAATGGGCCCTTTAGTCCAGGGTCAGAGCTTAGCTGGGCTTGGGCTCCTTCTCCAGCAGAGGAGCCTTAATTGGCTTTGCTGTTGCACCAGTCACCGTGGCACTTGTGACACTGTCTGGAGCCCAGGTGACATCAGTAGCTTTGGTTACGTGTGCGTCTCTGGCCCCCTGTGGCACCAAGGGGATCATGGGGCCCTCGCTGGCCGGGCTGGGGCTCTGCAGGTCCCTTGGGAGGTGACTGCAGGTCCTGGGCTTTGTGCTGGGCACAGGGTCTGTTTCTGCCGTGCTTGGAAGGGGGCGGATGGAGGGGAAGAGACACAGTTTTAGGCAGAGGGGCCTGCACTGGCAGAGTGCGTCCTCTGCCCAGTCACAGCTTTCATCCCAGCGTTGGCAGGGATTGGTGGGCAGCTCAGGGGGACAGCAGGGACCTTCTCTGCCCCTGTGTGCCAGTGGCACAGTCCCAGATATGAGGCCACTTGGAAAACAGGAGCACAGAGCAGATATAATCAGCTTATGGTATCTGGCTGTGCCCACAGCTCTGCCTGTGTTTCCCGTTTGCTGTTACCCCCTCTCTTATCAGACTCTGTCAGTGATAGCGCCTGTGGGTGTTGACGTCCAACCTCACCCAGGACGAAGGGTAGTGTGGCAGTGGGAGGGGTGTCACTGCCTTAGAAATGTCTGTGTCTCTGGTGGACATTTCCTTAATTCAGAGCCGTGTGCTGTCCTGTCAAGAGCTCTCTCCAGGGTCACAGACACTATTCCTGCTGCATGGCCATCCCTGGGATCTGGTGGGTCCTGCCTGCAGGAGCTGAGGGCTCTGAGCTCGCAGCGAGCCCGGGTGCAGAGTTCAGGTGCTGTGATATTAAATGCAGCTATTGCAGGGAAGAGCCTTGCCAGCCCAGCTATTGCACACTCCCCCCGAGGTCTGGGAGCTGCCAGACTCTGCAGCAGGAATTGCTTCCCCCACCCAGGTCTGGATCATTGTTTGCAGACATTGCTCTGGCTGCCACCTGGTCATACCAATAGTTTTCTGTTGTTTAGCCAGGAAACCATAAACCCCTTCGCCTTCCCAGGGCCTGCCAGCCTGGATGCTTGGGGCAAAATTAGTTTTCCCATTGGATCAATGAGCTAAGCTGACTTGCATCCTGGCCCTGGGAATGACACAGGAGCATGTGGACACTGAGATGAGGAGCATGTGTGGTGGCAGGACTGTGGCTGCTGCAGTTGAGCAAGGTTTGGTACAACCTCCCTGTGCATTTTCTAGGCTTTTCTGCATTTTTTTTCCACAGCAGCTTGGGTAACCCCAATCCCTGCCTTCCAGGAAGGGAGCAGAGTTTCGGGTAGTGTGGCAGGACCTGGCCACAGCCCTGCACCTCACACCCCAGAGTGGAGACCTGAAGGCCCTGGAGAGAGGCCTGAATGGCACTGAAGGGGGCTTTTCTTTCAACCAGAACTGAATCCAAACCAATTATCTTACATTTCCAACAAGTTGCATCTACAACTGAATCAAAACATTGTTTTCTAGCCCTGATTCAGTTGAAGCCTGGCACAGAACAGGAGTCACCATCATGGAATCACAGAATGGTTTGGGTTGGAAGGGACCTTGAAGGTCATATCATTCCACCCCCCTGCCATGGGCAGGGACACCTTCCATTACCCCAGGTTGCTCCAAGTTCCATCCAACCTGGCCTTGGTCACTTCAGGGATGGGGCAGCCACAGATTCTTGGGGCACCCTGTGCCAGGGCCTCACCACCCTCTGAGTAAAGAACTTTTCACCATTCCTGCATCAGCTCATTGCTATGCACCCCCAAACCTCCTGCTGCCTCTGCTCCTCCCAGACCTGGGCTGGGTGTCTGCCCTCCTGACCATCCTGTTCCCCTGGCCTTCCCTACCTGCAACCCTTCTTGTCCTCTCACATGTCTGTGGCATGTGACATATTTACCACACTAGTACTGGTCTTAACTGGAAGGTACAAAACAATGTCAGTCCTCATTCTGCTCTGTCTGCAACTGAATTGGAAATGTTCTGGCATATGGGGTGGGCACCTGCTCTGGGGATCTCCTGGTGGGAATATGGGGACTGTGATCATGTCCTGTTGAGGACATGCTTTTAACTGGTTCCTGCTGGGCTTGGATTTGGTTTCCTTTGTTTCCCAGCACACGGTAGTTACAGAGCGTCACTGTGAGTTGTGAAACACCTGCTGGGCTCTGCCTCGACAGTAGCTGCTTCTTGAAAGGATGGTGGTCCCAAATACACATGGTTACCACCTGCCTTGGTGTGAGCAGATGGCAGGCGCAGGTCCCTGCCTGGGCACAGGGAGCAGCTGAGCTCTCAAGGCCCCCCAGGGCCTGTTTTGGATCATCTTTGGGGTGTAGTAGTGTGCAGAGGTAAGGTGGGTGCCTAGTTTGGATGCTGGTGGGTGCCCAGTTCGGATGCAGGTAGTAACATCATCTTTCCCTTTTTTTCCCCTCCTTTCAGACTGCTCTCAGTGCTTTTTTCCAAGAAACAAACATCCCCTACAGCCACCACCATCAGATGGTAAGTGCTTTCCCAGCTCCTCAGCTCTCTCTCAGGGCAGAGCACCAGCTGGCAGGTGCTTCAGGCTGGTGCTCACGTCCAGCTCGCTGCTTCCCAACTCCAGGAGTGCAGACAGGGAGGTCTGGCTGGGCACTGCCAAAGCTGTCTGCCAAGGAAGGTTTTCCTGGAGAGCAGCTGGTGGCACAGCCTGCCCTATGCAGTGGGACAGCAGAGCCCTGCAGATGGTTCAAGGCTGCTCTTCCAAAAGGGATGGTCTGAGGGAGGACATTTTGGGCATAGCCAGTGGTCCACACCAGCACAGCATGGCAGAGAGAGCCTGGAGGAGCCTGAAGCACTGACGTGTGTAAGCACACTCACAGATACATGGTGCTTCCCATCCTGCAGCAGCCACACACACAGGTCCTTGTGAGCTCGCTGGAGCGAGCAGATTCCTGCAGCATCGCTGGAGCCTGGCTCTGGTGCAGCCTGCAGAGCTTCTGGAGGTGTGTAAACACCCACACGTGGGTGCTGCCTGCCTCTGCTCTCTTCCAGCTGTCCCCAGACTCAGTCCCTTAACTCTCATGCCCTGGCAGTCCATAATCTGCTTGGGCAGATGTGTCTTAAGGATTTACTGGCTGCTGTAGCCTTGTTTGACTCTCTGGGACAATTGGGGATTTGGAGCATGCAAAGCAGGTGCCCAGCAGGGCTGGAGCGTGCCCAGTCCCCTGGGGGGTGGGAGCTGAGCCTGAGCCTTGTGCCCACAGAGGCAGAAGACTGCAGGCCCAGCATGGCACCAGTGGGTTGTGGAGCAGAGGGCATCCCCGACTTGGCTGGGCACAGGGGTCCTGTCTCGGTCCTCTGCCAGGAGCTCTTACACAGCATGAGCCTTCAGACCTTTAAGTAGAGCTGCTCGTGGGCAGCAGTGGGTATATGGGGGCTCCATATACCACAGTAGGGGGGCAAAGGGGTCTTGTGCCACGCCCTGGTGGGAGGCAGAGGATGAGGACTCCCCTGACCCCCTGTCTCCTTCCCACAGATGTGCACTCCCGCCAACACGCCGGCCACGCCGCCCAACTTCCCCGACGCCCTCACCATGTTCTCCCGCCTCAAGGCTTCAGAAAGCTTCAACAGCAGTAGCCCCGTGGCCTCCATGGCGACTTCCCCGCCACCCCCGGCCCCGCCGCTGCCCCAGCACGGGGCCTTCAACCCCGCCTGGCCCACGGCTTCTCCACCCGGGCAGCAGCAGAGCATGTGGACTCCGGCCGCGCCGGCGCAGCCCGCGGGCTGGCCAGCCGCCGTCTCCCAGCAGGCCAGCGCAGAACAGAAGGCCAACGTGACCATGGAGGCAGAGAGATGAGGCCGCGGCGGAGAGCGGACGCAGTGGGGACCCCTGCGTATAAATATATATATTTTTTTTTCTCCCCCCCTCCCCAAAGAGGAGAGGAACTCTGCTGCCAGGGCATCTGGCAGCCGCCGAGACACATGAGCAAATAGCTGCCTTGCATGGGTTTGGTTTGAAGTAGTTTTTACTTGTTCTCGAGCTGAATGGAGCTCCCCAGAGACAGCGGGAGGCTGCGTGGGACCGGTGCCGGCCTCTGCCTGGGACCCTGACGCTGCCAGACTCTTGGGGAGGGAGCACCCCCTCCTCTCTTGGGACACCGGAGTTTGCATGCCAGTGACATTTACAGAGGAGGTCCCTTCCTCAGGGTTCCCTGGGCCACCCCACCAGGCAGAGTGAGTTGTGCCTGAGTGTTTCCCCCCATCCTTTGGCCCCGATCAACTGGGTGGGGGGTAGATACCCCATGAGGCTTGTTTTTTGTAAGGGGTGGAGAGAGCAGGGGCTGTTCCTGCACCACCACAGCCTCCACCCCACACACACCATCCTCGATGGTGAGCAGGGCTGGGGGACACCAGCCCTTGGGGAGGTGTCTGGCCCCTCGCCCAGCCGCGGATGGGGAGCAGGGGGTCCCTGGTGGTCCGGCTGGGCCAGCGCACCTTCCCCTCAACCTCCCGGGGTGGGGTTTGCCCCAGGGCTGTTTTGCATGACACAGTGTAACCCTAGAGACTGGGATCGTTTTTAACCCCTCTGTTCTTTTCTCCCGGCGGCTGGAAGTCCCTCCGGATGCGCCGCAGCCGCTTGCAATACACGCTCTTCTGCTTTGAACCCAGTGTCTTTGCTTCGTTTGCAGCAGCGCCGGGACGCAGGCAAAGCTGCCCTGAGCCTGGAGTGTTTCAGGATCCCCTCTTCCAGTGGCTCAGTGCATCCCACGAGGGCTGGCTGCATCTCCAGCTGCTCCAAGCGCCCCGTTCCAGCTATATAGTGCCTGCCAACTGCTTTTTGGCCAAGTGCATCCAGGGCTCAGCCCCAGAAGCGCAGCTCTGCCACATCAGTTGTGGTGTGAGACCCCAGCAGGCACGGCTGTGCTGAGTTCTCAGGATCCTCTGTAACATCTACAGGTCCTGGGTGTTTAGCTGTGACATGGCTCTTATCCCCTCTCCCCCAAGTCCCTTGAAGATTGCTGTCCCTGCCAGACCCTTTCCCGGCGAGGCTGTGCCCCTGCACTCCCAGTCAATAATTAATTTCAGTCTCTTATTTGTGTTGCTAAAATAAACAATGTAGGAGGGATGGTTTCACCCAGGGTGCCTCTTGGACAGCTTGGGCAGGGCCTGGGAGCAAGGGCTGGAGCTGGAGCTGGCCTTTGTAAGCATCCTTGCATGGAGCTGTGCTGGAGCTGCCACCCTCAGTCCTTCACTGAGATGAAAAGGCCAAGCTGGTGAGCTCTGGTGTGAGCCAGGGCTGTGCATCTTTTGTCTCAGCTGTGGTGAGCACATCCAGGCCAGTGTGGAGTCCTGCTGGGAGTAGGGATGGTCTGTGAGGTGGGAGGGTGCTGCACAGAGCCACCCAGGGCACACAGAGAAGGGATTTGTCCCCAGCCTTGAAGAGACAGCTCCTGAGAAACACAGGTGAAGCCACACGGAGGCCTGGGTGATGAGGACGGGAACGTGCCTGTGACTGCCCCAGGGCCACCAGGAGCAGGATTGGAAAACCATGTACCAGACCACAGACCTGGTCCTCTAACTGGTCAGATGGGGACATGGCACAGCCCAAACCCGTCAGACTCTGGATGCGTCCCCAGGAGCTCAGGGACTGCACAGGGGAGGCAACAGAGAAGGGAGCATCTCTGGCCTGTGGTGTTACCCCACTGCAATGGGTGGGTGTCAGGGCAGTGTGACCCCAACTCCCACCAGTCCCCCGAGGCCAGGCAGCACAGCCTTGGTGCATGTGCCCCTCCCCAGCCCCCCGTGCCATTTCACAGCCCCCTGGCCAGTCCAGACACCTGTGAGCTTGGCACTGGCCCCCAGGAGCCTGCTTTGTCACCTGCACCTGCAATGCACAAGGACAACAGCCTTGTGTGGGGCTGTTCACCCTCGGCAGCTCCCTGGGGACTGCTCAGAAGCAGTGCTGCCCACATGGCAGGGCTGGTGGCCCAGGGGACACTCAGAACAGGCACCTGCATGAATACCTGGAGATGCAGCACCATCCCTGTGGTGTGCCAGGAGCAGAGTTGGGGGGATCTTCATTGCTGAAGGGGGAGAAGCAGAAACAGTACAGGGGGACAGCCATCCCCTGCCCTACCAGCACCAGTGCTTGTTCTCAACACCCAAGCCCTGCTCCCTCAGCACCTTGTTCATACCTGGGTGCTACATCATCCCCTGACCTCCCCTCAGCCTCCCCAGAGCCACCCACCATTGTTTGTCCCCAGCTCCATCAGCATGGCATGGTGACGAAATCCTGGCATGCTGAGCTGCTTCCAGGTGGAGATATGCCAAGTCTGGACAATCCTGTACCCAGCGTGGTTCGGGCACCAGCTGTGGCACAAGTGGCTCCTGAGCTGTGCCCGGACACTGTCCTCATCTAGGTGTCCTCAGTGTCACCCCACAGCTGCTCTGCAGTTTCCTGCAGCCTCATGCACTGCTGCTGCAGCTGGCCCAGCACCTCCCTGCCAAAACCCAGCCCCTGGGGAGGACGTGGCCCTGGGTGACTGCAGAACCCAGGCAAGGCAGGGAGGTGTGTTAATCATAGTCCCAGAGAGTGGCTAGTGAGAACATCCTGAGAGACGCCCCAATGTGTTCCTGGAGAGTGGGTTGTGAGGTTGCAGCCCCCAGGCCTTTGGGCAGCACTTCCTGAGACCATGGACACGTGGGTACCTTCTACACCCAGCAGCTGCTTTATCTCACCCAGCACCTTCTCCAGATGGGCAGCCACATCCTCCAGGCCTCTGAGCTGGCTTAAGATACCAAAGCTTTGCTCTGGGCAGTGCCAGCTCCTGCAGGTCCCCAGCAAAGTAACACCCCAAACCTGGATGGACTTGTGGTGGAGTCTCCTTGGCATTGTTGCCAGGCCCTAGGCATGGCCAGTGCTGGGGCGCCACAGAGGACAGTGACCACATCCCCCCCAAACATGTCAGTGCACGAGGCAGAGGGACAAGGGGGCTGCAGTGGCCTGGGGACTCAGATGGGCTGAGTGTGTCCCTGCCGTTCACCTGGCAAAGGTCTGATGGCACAACCTGGTACAGTGGCCTGGCATGACAGAGATGTCAGTGCCCACAGAGCTCTCATGTGGCTGACAGGTCCCTATGGGCTCGTGCTGCTCCAGCAGTCAGCCCAGCCTGTGTGGGGCTTTGTGGGCCAGCACTGCAAGGCCTCAGGATTGAGTTCCCAGCCAGAGCTTCAGAAACCAAACAGCCCCTGAGGTTTTGGGAAGAGAGAAGAGTTCTGGCCGTGCTGGAGCCAATGGGCATTGCCAGCAAAGGAGCCGGCAGCACCTCACCAGTGGGCACCTCACAGAGAGAGCTCTGGTACAGCTCCTGAGACACCTCCACTGTGACCAGGAGAAAAATCAGCCCTTTGCCCTGCTCCAGGAGGGGACAGCCTGGGCAGTCCCTGGGATGGGGCAGGAGACCTTGACATCACCCCAGTGCCATTCCATCCCCAGTCCTGTGGGTCTCCCTGGGCATCAGAATTTCAGAGGGTAAAATTCTCCTGGCACTGTGGGAGGGACAAGAGCAATGGAAGTGGCCAGGACACTGAGATACCAGGGATGGGTGGCTGCTCCAATGGCTGTGAGGGTGACATGGCAGGTCACTGCAGCCAGAGCAGCCTTTAGGAGGCTTCAGTGCATTTTCCGTAAGGATTTGTGAAAGATTGTCATCCTAGTCACCCCATGAACCTGTGCCATCCATGCAGGTTGCTGGGGAGCCCAAGCTCTCTGCAAACAGCTCTCCAGTAACTGACCCAGCTCTGCTGCATGCACCTCAGGGAAATTTGCTGAGGGAGCCCTCAGCAGTGGTTTTCAGGGAGCAGATGGTGGTGATCATCTTCTGCAGCATGTCTTGGTCTGAGGAACATGGGTTTAACTGCTGGTTCCGGGTCCCCACAGGCATGGGGGCACGGAAAGAAGGGAAGCTAAGAAGTGTATGGAGAAGACCAGGGCTTGAGGATATTTCTCTGGGACCCACAGCATCAGCCACATCCGGCCAGCCCATAGTGGTGCCCATGGAGTTCCCCCAAACTGAAGTGAAAGATGTCCAAAGGGGACAAATGTCCCAGCTTCAGCTTCATCACACTGGCAAAATGCTGTTGCCTTTTCTCTTTGGTCTATAGTTGTGCTCAAAGCCAAGGTCACAACATGTGAGGTGGGTCTGGCCTGGGGGTGCCAGGTCTCACGAGGGATGAAGTGCCAGAATTGCTGTGTGCCAGCCCCATGCTGCCTGTGGAGAAGACAGGAGGGCACAAGGCCACCACAATGCATTCTTGTGCTGCAAGGTGTGAGCAAGGCAGATATTTCTGATATTCCATACGGCATTTCCGTATGGAACTTGGTGCTGTGGCAATGTCTCCCACTAGATTGTGCCTTGATGTGGGGACAGCCTGCCTGTCCCGCTGTCACCTGCAGCTTGGTCACTCACTGTGACACAGGATAAAGAGGAGCCTGCAAGGCGCACTGCTGTTCCTGCCTGGGAAGTGGGAGCTCTGTGCTCCAGCCCAGAGTGACCCCAGGCAGAGCTGCCAGGGCAGAATGGGACCCAGCACACCTAAATCTCAGAGCAAGTATCTCTGGAGCCCTAGGGACAGGTGAGAAGTGACTGAAACTACCTGTGACTGTGTTAGAATACTGGTATTTTAATTAGCCCCTGCAGTGCAGCTAAGACCACTGGAGCCAGAGAGGTGCCTTCGTGGTTCCACAGGCTCCCTGCTCCTGGGGCAGCCGGAATCCATGGCATGGGCAGGACATCGGCCAGAGCAGGGCATCATGTGGGGCATGAGCTGGAACATCTGTAAGGAAGAGACTGCTCCAGGGAGCAGGCTGCTCAGAGCCCCTTCCAGTACATAAAGGACCTCCAAAAGAGCTGGAGAGGGACTTTGGGCAAAGGCAAGTAGTGACAGAACAAGGGGAAATTAAGGTTAGATATATGGAAGAAACTCTTCCCTATGAGGGTGGAGAGACCCTGGCACAGGGTGCCCAGAGAAGCTGTGGCTGCTCCTGGATCCCTGGAGGTGTCCAGGTTGGACGGGGCTTGGAGCAACCTGGTCTGGTAGAAGGTGTCCCTGCCCATGGCAGGGGGTGGAACGGGATGATCTTTAAGATCCCTTCCAGCCCAAACCATGCTGGCATTCCCTCAGTCTGCGGCTCCCCGGAGCTGCCCAGCGCAGCGGGAGCAGGCCCGGCTCGGCCCGGCCCCCGGCTGGCCCGGCGCGGCCCAGGCCCGCCCCGCCGCGGCACCGCCCGCCCAGTCCGGCCCGCCCCGCCCGCCGCCGCCAGGTGCGGAGCCGCCGCCGGGAGCCGGTAGGTGCCTGTGGGAGGTGGGGGTCGGGTGCGGGACCGGCGGGGCTCGGGAGACCGGAGGGGCCGGGGGCTGCGGCGGGAAGGCGGCCCGGGCCCCCTCAGCCCCGGACAGGCCGCGGCGGCCTCCCGGCGGCGGGGCCGGCTGGACACACTGAGAACCGGGGGTGACACCGGGCACCGAGGGGGACACCAGGCGTGGGGGGACACTGAGAACCGCAGGGGGGATACTGAGCACGGGAGGACACTCGGCACTGGGAGAACACTGAGCGCAGACGGTGACACAGGCAGGAGAATACCAGCATTATGCTCTTGGGAAGAAAAGGGATAGAAATCAAGCCCTGGTTAACTGTGTGAGGAAGAACTAGGCCGAGGGAAGGGCTCGGGGCTCGGCCGCCGCTGGAGGTGCGGCTGGATGGGGACACGGGCCGGGAGAGCGGCGGGAGGCAGCCCTGGCCTCGGACGGGCCTTTTAACGCTGCCGAAGTGTCGCAGGGTACTGCTAAAATCTTCAGAGCTGCAGCTCTGTGCCCTCAGCAGTGCCGGGAAGGGTTGGGACGGGAGAGCTGGGATGAAATTTAATCGGGTGGAAAGCGAGGTCGTGTACTTGGGAAAAGACTTCCCGGTGTAAGGCGAGCGCTGCTGGCCGGCCGAGGTCAGGAGCCGGCGGGAGCTGCAGGGAGGGCACGGCTGAGAGGGGAGCAAATGCGATCCAGACAGAGCCCGGGAGAGCAGGGAAGCAGGCCTAGGAAACAATGTGTGTGTTTCCAGTTATCCCTGCTCGGGAGAGACGAGCTTGCCCAGTGATCAGGGATGATGAGCCCATTTTAGAGGAGCCGAAAGAAGCTGAGGTGTCTTGACAAGCAGGAAGAGAAATGATGATGGGTGAGGATGATATTGGCACACTGGCAGTGTGAGATGAGCAGAGCTCTTTCAGTTAATGAACAGCAACAAACACCAAGGAATAAACGGTGGGAAATTCTGGGGGTTTTAACCATTAAAATTGTGAGATCTGGGTTCTCCCTCCCAAGGGGACTGGAAAGGCAGAGGGTAGCAGCTGTTTGGTTGCTTTAGGAAAAGCACAGGGAGTGAGGGTTGCTGCTAAACAGAGGAATGAGGTTGGGATCCTGGGGAGAGCTCCAGGGCTGTGTAGAGGAGTGGCAACATGCAGGCTGGGATGGACACTGCCATGCCAGTGTCCTCTGGATCCTCCACATGAGCCATGCTCAAGGTTAAACTTCTCCAAGTCCTTGAAAGTGGAAGTTTGTGCCCCTTGGCCTGAGGAAAAGCTGCTCTGAGGTGATGTCCTTGCACCAGTGAGAACTGGGGAGGGGACTGGAAGTTGTCATATTCTAGGCTGAGCCTAAAA